CAACACCAGCTCCAGACCCAGGCTCTCCAGAAACCGAAGGGACACCCTCACCCCCAGACGCAGCACCCCCAGACTCCGCACCAGCACCCCCAGACTCCGCACGACCAGTACCAGCCCCCGGAAGACAAGAGTCCTCTGCAACCCGCGGCTCAGCTCCAACTCCAGCACCCCCAGAACCAGAGACCTGTACAGGGACAGTCGCAGGACCAACCTCTCGAGAGGGAGCACCTGCAGGAGGCGGCGAGGAAGACTGTGGGGAGGGAGGCTGTACAGGGGGGGCTACCGAAGGGGGAGGGCTAGCCTGAGACACACCAGACGGGGCTGGACCAGGGGGGGGAGGCTGTACCGGGGGAGCAGGCGGGGGAGCGGCGGTCAGGAAGAGAGGGGGGGGAGGGACCGGGAGACCTCGACTGGGGTACCTGACGTAGTAGGGGGTGGACTCCTCGAAACGGACGTCACGGGAGTCAAAGAACCGGTGAGAGGGAGGGTGGTAAAAGGTGAAGTCAGAGGAGTCCTCAGGGAAACCAAGGAAGACACAAGGAACGGCGCGAGGCGAGAGCTTGTCCGCGGAGGTGTCGCGGACAAGAGCCAAGCACCCCCAGACACGAAACCTCGACGCGACACCAGGGGACCCTGTCCAAAGACTGGTCGGTGAAGCCTCCGGCCGAGAGACGCGTGGCCAGAGGTTCAGCTGGTGCGCGGCGTACCTGACTGCGTATGGCCACAGGAAATGGGGGGCACGGGCGTGAGTCAAGGAGGTGCGGGCAATCTCCATGACCAGGCCTATGCGACGCTCAGCAACCCCATTCTGCTGTGGGGACTCCGGAAGCGTCCAGGACTGACGAATGCCCTGTTCGTGACAGAATCCAGCGAGAATGCCGGAGCGAAACTCGCCCCCGCGGTCGGAGTGGAGACAGCTGACACGACGACCACGAGTGTCCTGGGTGGTAAGCAACCACCTGATCAGCGTAGAAGTCACCTCAGACTTCCTCGCCAGGGGGAACACTGTGGTGTAGCGGGAGTAGTCGTCAACGACCACCAAAAAGAAACGCTCACGCTCAGGGCCAGGGCGAGGAGAGGGGCCCCAGACGTCCAAGTGCAGCGTCTCAAAAGGCTCGGTGGCCGGACGAAGGGAGGAGGAGTGAGGGGTGGCACGCAGCCTACCCTCGACGCAAGGACCGCACGGTGGTGCAAGGGACGGCGGCAGCGACGGCAAGACACGCGGGAGACCTAAGACCAGACGCTGACTAGACATAGCACGCAGACGTGGAAGAGAAGGGTGTCCCATCCGGTGGTGCCACAGAACGGTGGGGTGGGCAAGTGACCGACAGGAGCAAGACGCAGCGACTGGACTGGACGCGACAACCTGAGGGGACGGAACCACCTGGTGAGACGCAGGGAGGAGACTAGGGGGAGGGACAGGAACTGGGAGGAGTGGCTGCTGCGACGGCGGCCGCTGTGGCTGCGGCTGCTGCTGCTGCTGCTGCCGCTGCTGCGGCTGCTGCTGCTGCTGCAGTCGCTGCTGAGCGCGCGGGCCAGTGTGAAGAGTGTAGAGACCGGAGCCCGGCTCAGCAGCAAAAGTGGCGAGGGGCTGGTAAGAGTCCCCGTCAACACACACCGCAGTCTCTCCAGAAGGCTCAAACCACACACCCACGTGCTGACTCACGAGGGGTCGCACGCCCACCAAGTTCCGGGAGAACGAGGGGACGTGAAACCCAGTGAGAGACCCAGAAGGAGCAGCCGGACACGGCAAGGTGGTAGTGTGACGCGCGGTGACTGGTCCCGAAGTGGGATCAGCCAGCGCCACAGAAACAGGCGCAGGAAGTGGTGTAAGTGTCGTGCTGTCACGAAAGAAGCAGTGAGAGGCTCCAGAGTCCAGCGTGAACGACAGCGAACCGTCCTCTGAGGTAGCCGCTGGACTAGAGTCTACACAAGAACCTACACTAGCAACAGGCAACTGAGCAAGGCTAGCACCTAAGCTAACAACACCAGAGTAAGCAGAGTCAGAAACACTAGAGTCAACAACAGCATACATAGCATGGGGAGTACCAATCAGATCAACTAACTGCTCAGCAGACATGCCCCACAGAGCGGAGCCGTAACGCTGAACAAGAGGCAGCCAGTCAGGGGCAGGAGCACCAACCCCGTAGACCAAACGAACCGTGTCAGTGAGCTGAGCAAAGCACTGACCAGGGGGGTGAAACCGGCCACAAGGGTGGCCACGACGAGTGCCTGTCAGAACCTGGTAGGTGCAGGGAGTGTAAGCAGCACCGCGCTGGGTCTGACGCAGCCCCGACCCTGGAGCCAGCTGCTGCCGCTGCTGCTGCTGAGGCTGCTGGGAGGAGAGGGGCTGCTGCTGCTGCAGAAGCTGCTGCTGACGCTGAGCCTGGTACCACGCCGCTGCTCCACCAACCGGGGCAGGAAGTACAGGAGGCGACTGACGAACTCGGGCGTCGCCACCACCAGCAGGCGCAGTGGAGTCACCAGTCACTGCACGAGGCGCCTCTCCAGGCCCTGAACCTCCACCGCCGCCAGGCGCAACGCCACCTCCACTACCTCCGCCTCCACCTCCACTACCACCACCAGAACCGCCTTTCTTGCCACTCCTACCGCGGGACCGCGACGCAGTCGTAACAGCAGCTGCAGTCGCGTCAGTAGCGGCAGTGGCAAGTGAGGCAGTAAAGGTGGGTAACTGCGGGACTGTGCACCCGTGGAAGAGTGGGGGGGGCACAGCACCAGAGGCAGCGGCTACCGAGCGAAGGTTGCTCTCGACGTCCTTGAGTGTAGACTCAAGGACATCGACGGTGAGCTCACTAGGGTGCTTCAGCAGAAGCGCGTCGCGAACGGAGGCAAGGCGGTCAGGGAGGCTAGTGGCGATGAAATAGATAGTAATCGCCATAGGGGGAGGAAGCAGTGCAAGCTGTGCCTCAGTGCAAGCAGCGCGGTAACTAGCGTCGAGCGAGCGGAGGTGAGCGATCAAGTCAGCAGAGCGCTCAAACGAGGCGAGATCAGGAAACAGGAACGGGAGGAAAAGACGGCCAAGAGAGACAGTAGCGGGAGTAGAGTAGCGGGCCTTAATCGCAGTGAGGTACGCAGCAGCGGTGCGAACCTGAGTGAAGTGGACCTCCTCTGACTCAGGGAGGAGGCTGCTGAGTGCGATGCAGGCCGCAGCGTCACGCGACGTCCAAGCCGTCCTGTCAGCGCGCTGACGGGCAAAGCGAGCCGTAGCAGCATCGTCAGGGGCAGGACCTAAAGCGGCAGGCTCGGGGGGCTCGGGGAGGTCACCAGTAGCGTGCGACCAGAGGGTCTCGCCCCCCTGGACTTGACTCTCTAACAGACGGCGAGCGCGAAGAAGCCAGACGGAAAAGTCAAGAGGTCTACCGTCAGCGTCGAAACGAAGAACTCGCGGAGTCGCCATAGCGAGAACGAACGCGAACGAGCAGGCGAGTAACAGCAGGAGGTAAGAGGCAAATTAGGGTTCAGGTGGGGGGACTTAGTCGCAGCGGAAGAACGGGCTAGGGCGACGGGCCAGGGCGTAGGGTCGACGGGACGGGGGGAAAGGGCGCGACGCGACGGGGCAGGGCGACGCGACGGGGCAGGGCGACGGGACGGGGAAGGGCGACGCGACGGGGCAGGGCGACGCGACGGGGCAGGGCGACGGGACGGGGCAGGGCGACGGGACGGGGCAGGGCGACGCGACGGGGCAGGGCGACGCGACGGGGCAGGGCGACGGGACGGGGCAGGGCGACGGGACGGGGCAGGGCGACGTGACGGGGGGAAAGGGCGCGACGCGACGGGGGGAAAGGGGGGCGACGCGACGGGGGGAAAGAGCGCGACGCGACGGGGGGAAAAGGGCGCGACTCGACTGGGGGGAAAGGGCGCGACGCGACGGGGGGAAAGGGGACGCGACGAGGGGGGAAAGGGCGGGCAGGACGCGACGCTAGGAGTGGCGCTAGGCGCGGCACTACGCGCGGTAACAACGAAACCGGGACGAATGAGAGCTAGGATCAGGCTCGGGAGGCTCGAACGGAGAACGGAGGAACGGGATCCCACAGGATCCTAACCTAACTGATACCATGTCAGAATGAAGAATGGATGATGCATTGATGTTGGTTGGGGTACATATAGCTAACCCTAAGTTTTGTACCCCCTAAGACAAACCTCACTATAGGCTACAACATTTGACACCAGACCAGATGAATTTCTGCTGGTGCCCTGAAATTTCAGGATGGCCAGGGAATTTTGCCCTGGAAAATCAGGGCATCTCGGAAGTTTTCCAGAAGTTACCCTCAGGGCTCAGGGTGCCCAAAATCCTAGCATAGGTCACGTGGTCATACTTGGTGACACATGGTCACATGAGAGTAACTGGCAAGAAGAGAGAGGTCCGACGATGGATGCCGTACTCATACATAGGTTTGTGCCAAAAATTGGATAATTTCATAGGCATAGCAAATTACAGGCAGAGCTATTTACATTGGGCCAGTCTGCATTGCATTTACACTCAAGAACCTTAGTACGTTGAGAACACTGGCATGCACGCAGCAGCTGAGCACAGAAGGCAGGACTGGCAGCAAATAGGCAGAAGGTACAAGGGCCTTGCACAACAGCATTGGAAGCAGCTCTTTCAAAATGGTGGCGCAGCAGCAGTGTGAGTGAGCATCGCGGGGGAATCGTGCAAGAGGGTGTGAAGTGGAATGTGTTACGCAATAAGAAGCAATTGAGGATGATCGTAGACAAATGGCATGAGCATGATCAGGCGGTTATGATGGGTTGGATGTGGTGCAGCAAGCAGCAGCACGGCAGCAGCAGTAGTGCAGCAGCAGCGCTGCAGGGTATGGACAGCTATTAGTACACAGCAGCACGCAGGTGAGAGCAGAATAGAACCAGCCCGAAAGGCACAATAGACGGCACGCAGGGCGAGTGACAGCAGGGTGTTATCATCCTGCCGGCACGTTTCTCTGCCCCTGCCGATCATGCCATCTTGGTCCAGCACCTCTTACTCAAAACTGCACAGCACACATCACATAAGGGCAGGCAACAAGAGGGACGCAAGCAAGACATCACATGAAGAGAACCCCATGAGAAACGCTTAGTTAAGGCTTGATTTTTTCAAACACTAAACAAAGGCTCACGCCATTCCCCACCACGCAACATCATTGCACCCAGCCATCCCCACACATGTGCGTGTGTGTGTGCGTGCACGTGAGACAATATCTCACCCTGTTGTTGAGCTGGCGGGGGTTGCGGTTGCGCAGCTGGTTAAGCTTGTCACGCAGGGACGCTGAGAGTACGGAGGGTAGCACGGCACAGAGAGGAGGGTAGCACGGCACAGAGAGGAGGGTAGCACGGCACAGAGAGGAGGGTAGCACGGCACAGAGAGGAGGGTAGCACGGCACAGAGAGGAGGGAGCAAGAAACAACAACTAGCTAAACACTCGCAGTTCTTCATACGACGCAACACAAGTTGCTTACACGCATACGTGCTTCCAATAACAAGGCGCACTTGAATTTTGTTACTAGGGCGACGGAAGTGCAAGAAACATCTGGGAAAAGCAGACGAGAGAGGCGGAAAGCGGAGGAAGGCGGAGAAAAGGCAAGGCATGGGGCCAACAAGAGGGAGCTGCGCCATCAAGAGGTGAGAGCGTACCAGCGTCGGCATATCTCTCCTCCTGCACGGCCGCCATGAGGCTCTTGGTTAGCGCCATCTCCTCCGTCAGCAGGTCCGTCGCGCCCCTGCGGCCGCAGCATACACGAGATACACACAGAGAGAGCGAACAAGAACAGGAGCATCGTGAGGGGTGTTGTTTAGCGTTAGCGTATCTACAGTTCCCCGCCATGAGGCTCTTATCAGCGCCATCTCCTCCGTCAGCACGTCCGTCGCGCCCCTGCAGCCGCCAGACACGGAGAGATAAGAGCAACAGAGAAAAACGCGCACCGAAAGGGATGACTTTTAGCGTATGTTCACTTTAGTACCCAGCCAGGGCATTATCTGAACTGTCACACATGCGGGAAACCGAGCCGGATGCTAGTTCTCTACCATTGCATCTATCCCACCCGCGCTCCCCGCTCCCCGCTCCCGGCTCCCCGCTCCCGGTTCCTATAGCCCCGCTCCCCACTCTCGAGAGCGCGACTCACCTATCAGGGCCGGCGGCCGCGGCGTTGGAACCGAAGACGGCGTGGTGCGCGGCGGCGGAGTAGGGCTGCCCCGGCGACACGATGCGGTGCGCCTCGTCCACCACGCGCACGGCGTCGCTGCGCACAATGCTCTTGGACACGAAGATGGGCACCTGCCGCACAGACAAGGCGCGCGCACGCACAATACCGGAAGCAGGAACGGAAGCGGGGGGAAGGGGAGGGGGAGGGGGAGGGGGAGACGGGGACGGGCCACAACAGGTGAAAGACGGCAAAAGAAGGGTGTCAAATCAAGACAGCCGCGAAAGAAACATTACAGGTGGCCAATAGAGACACTTTGGTGGCTAAAATACAGAAACAGATGGAGAAGGAGGGGGGAAGGGGAAGGGGGGAGGGGAGAGGGGACGGGGGGTGGGGTGGGGTGGGTAAGGGAGATGGGGGAGGAGCGGAGTAGGGAGCGGCGGAGCTAAAAGCAGAAGATGCAGAGCGCGGAGCAGCGCGGGTGGCGGAAGCAGCGGAGAGGCGGCGCAGTACCTGAGCGCGGATGGCGAGATTGATGGCGTCGGAGGGGCGCGCGTCGATGCTGGCGACGCAGTGCGGCGAGTCGGGCTGCGCGAGGAAGATGCGCGCGAGGTACGTGTCCATGACGCGCTGCGTGATCTTGACGGTGCGCACCTCGTAGTTGAGCGACTCCACCATGTCGCGCATCACGTCGTAGTGGCACGGCCGCGCCTGCACGCCACGCACACGTGCGAGAGAGAGAGAGCGACAGGAGCGGTCAGAACAGAAACGTCAGGATATGCAGATGGAAGTGACGGGCGTGGTAGGCATACGAGTCGTGGTTTAAGAAGCGGACTGAACCGTGGACGCAAATAACAGCCCAGGTGAATGGAGATGGTGACGCGGGGAAAACCGGACGAAAAGAATAGTCGAAGACGGACGCTCACGATGCTTACCCCTGGCTCCTTGCGAAATCCCTTCATCAAGAATCCCACCGCCAATTCGCCTGCGGGACAAGACAGCCAGAGCACGGACGAGCAGTAAGAACACGCGACAGGATGCGTCCAACAGATAGAATTCACGGCGACAGAGAGTCGCACAGCGACAGCTTGAAGGCTTTGCGACAGTCGCAGCACTGACCGACGACGATGGGCAGCAGCAGCCCGCTGTTGCCGGCGACCTTGACGAAGATGGCGGGCGTGCTGTGCGGGTACAGCAGGCGGCCGGCGCTGGGGTTGACGTGCTCCACCTCGATCTCCGTGCCGTCCGCCATCGTCATGTACAGCCGCTCCTGCTGCGGCGCCATGCGCACTGCCACGGAAGAAGTAAAATAAGAGCGGTAAGAAGGTGAGTTCCGGTGATGAGTGAGAAGTCGACGAGATCTGCACGAAGTGACATATCAGGGATTCTTTCCGTATGTCGTCGTGTCCAAATCCTCTAGCCACGTGATTGGATTCAAACAACCGGAATGACATGCACATCTATCCCGACACGCACGAGAAGCTCAGCGGACGGCAATTACAGCCGCAAACGCAACGCGACTGAATACGCCCCGCGATACCTTGAAGCGGAAGCAAGCTCACCCGCATCCATGACGTGCGCCTCGAGATACTCCTCGTCGTCGAACTGCTGGTTGTTAGCTCCCATGCCGTGCGGCGAGAAGCTCATCTCCACCGTTGGTCGTTGCGCGCCGCTTCCGGCGGACACGATGTTCCGCACGGGGAGCGCCCCGCCGAAAAATGACTGGCGCTTCGAGCGGAGACTGGCGGAAGAGACATGCGTCGACGACGCGCTGCGGCTGATGCTCGTGGATCTTCTGCCGTCGGCGCAAACGGCTGACGTGTCAGGAAAGGGGCGCGAGCACAGTACCGCGGAGGGAAGGACGCAGGAGCATTTGCCGGACACGACGAGATGCTGCGAAACGTTGGCGGAGGAAGCGGTCGAAGCAAGCGCAGGACGCACAACGGAAGCCATGGCGAGAAGCGAGGAGGACAACGAAGAGTGCAGTGAAAAGATTCAGGTAGAAGTCCTCCGCAGACCGATGGAAACAGGTGGCGATGATGTTTTCAAGAAATGACAGGAGCGGCAACGCGGGAAGGGGTAACACACGCCTTATGGCCTCACGCTAAAACTAGGGGTGAGGCGCAGCGTGTCCGAGAAACAAGTGAATCTGGAAACGAAGGGGTAGGAATAAGCAGAGGCCAGGGGTGGATGCAGTGTTTGTAAAGGCGCGAGCTGGGGGTGGGGTGGGCGCGGATGGTGAGTTGGGGGAATGACAGTGGATTGGTGGAAAGTCTGCGCGTGCTGGGTGGGGGGAGCTTCGTGATGGGCTGCTGCGGAACGAGCATGCGCCAGATTGGACAGGGCTTCGATTTCGTTCGTGCTGTTTGGCAGCGGGCATGACGAGGCATGATAGTTTCAGCCAATGATCAGCGAGCACAGGTAACGAGATCTCAAACAGATCGAATGAGAAGCGTCATGCTGAGTCATCCAATGCTAATATCATGGCGGGAAATGCTGTAACTGGGCAACCCCGACTCATCCCTGCCTTCGGGGAATAAAACAAGATCGTCGTGACGGTGACGGAAATATCATGTCCCTACCCTGCCCTAAGGACGTCCCTGCCCTGAGCCTAGGACCTATGCACCTAGGACCATGACACATTCCTAGACAGCTCCACTAGCCAATAAGGTTGCTGACATGCGGTGGAAGTGAGCACTATCTTGCTGGCACACGCGCTAAAATGGATCTGGATTCGGCTAAGTACCACGTGAACAAGCCTTTTTGTCAACCAAATCGGTATAGGCCATGTGGATAGTCTGTCCAGGTGCTAATACGAGAGACAAACCCGTCATAGGGCTACATTTACCATTACCGTACCTTATTTGGTAAGGGGGTACATAATGTATACAGATATACAAAAATTAAACTTGAAGAAAACCATGAAACTGGCTGAAAAAACTAATCAGCATCCGTCTCTCTCCTATATTTACCCGATATGGACACTACAAAGAATAAGTTAATGCAAGCATTTGCAGCATGTGAGCATACGGCAGTTCATTTGTAAAAGGAAATCCCGGTGTTGGGAATGTTTGTGTCACATAAATATAAGGGCAGGAGTGCATTCGTCCACCTAAACCCAAAATTCTCCACCACTTCCCACCTGGCGGGTTGTGGTCGAGACATATTCGGAGTTTTCCCAGCCAACTTCTTCAATCCGCCGAGGTGTATGGCAGTTGTGTGTGAACTCGACTCTCCGTCTCTCGACACGGCGCTGCGTGGTTGCGGTTCTTCGGTCTTGATCATGCGGAGGCAAGGCGGCGGGAGTGGCAACAGGCTGTCGGACTGGCGCCGAGTCACGGGCGCGGCTGCCGCGAGCGGGCTGGCGGCGAGCGCAGAGGAGGGGGGAGCAGCGGATGAGCGGGAAAGGGACGGGTTTGGAAGCGGGGAAGACGATTTTGTGGTTAACGCGCCAGGGAGGGGCGCGGGCGGAGCCAGATGGGCGGAAAGACGCGCGGCTGCCAGCGGAAGCAATGGCGGAGGTCGTGGAGGGAGGCGCAAAGGTGGGGGAGGAGGGGGAGGCGGGAGCCGAGCAACGCGCCGAGCAGGCGGATGTGTGACGCTACGGGGGGAGTCAGAAACGGGGGGAGGCCATGACGCGAGCCGAGAAACGGGCCGATTTGGTGCTTACAACGATGGCGCGCCGGCGGCCCGAGGATCCCTTTCCGAGTCGGCTTTCAAGACAGCGACTCGCGAGTCATATCAGAATCAAGAGCAGGGTCAGTCGGAGATTAATGTGCTTAGGGATATGTTTGGTGGCGGCGCGGTATCGGACGCGGAGATTAGCCACGTGTACTATCACGAGTGCCGGGGGTCTTTAGAGGCTTCGATAGAAGCACTTTTACGGTTGGCGAACCGCGTTGACAGTACTGGATGTGACAGTAACGAAAGTGAGCGTACGGAGCGGCAGCGTAGCGGCGTTAGTCTGGATCCCCACCCTGCCTCCCCGTCCTCCTCCTTCGCCTTCCCCTCCGCCTCCCCTTCCGCCTTTCCCTCCGACTCCGCTTCCGCCTCCGCCATAACCCCACCTGCCGCCCCTCCTCTCGTCTGCCCATCCACATCCTCCTCCCCGCCTCTCCTTCCGCCCCTTGCCGTTCCCCCGTCATCATCCTCCGCACACCCCTCTTCCGCGCATCCCTATCCGCCGCCCTCCTCCCCCGCGCTCGCGTCTCCCCCGGGCAGCGCGCCTCTGCTCGTCGCGCTGCCCTGCGACCTGCAAGATCTCATCCTCTCCGCCCTCGACCTCCTCTCCCTCGCGCGCCTCGCCTGCGCGTCGCGCCACCTGCGCCACCTCATCCGCCTCCGCCGACTAGCGCTCAAGCACCTCGCGCTTCCGCGCACCCTTCCCCCGTGGGCGGCGCCCCTGTTCGTGAGGGCGCACGGGGGGCTGGAGTCGCTCAGCGTGCAGCGCCTTGGGCGCTGTGAGATGGATCTCCGCGCCCTGTTTGCTGCTGCTGCGGGGGTGGGGGAAGAGGAGGAAGTGGGGGGGGAGGCGGGGGAGCAGGAGTGGCGGATGCAGGAAGGGAGGGGGGAGGGGTGGGGAAGCAGAGACAGCAGCAGCAGCAGCAGCAGCAAGTGGTGGTTGGAGGGGTGGTAATGCAACCTACTAGGTCGCTTCAGTCGATTTCATTGGCTGGCTGCGTCCACCTCAGCGACGCTGACGTGGCGTGCCTGTGCGCGCTGCACCGCCGCCTTGCGTCCGTGGATCTGTCGTCGTGCCGCCAGGTGACTGACATGGCGCTGATGTGGCTGGGGCAGCACGAAAGGGAGGCAGGAGTAGTGGAGGAAAGTGTCGGAATGACAATCAGGGGTGAGGATAGAGTAGCCGCAGAGGCAACAGCAGCAAGTGATGATGCTGGGAATACATCTGTAGCAAGTGAGCAGCAGGTGCAGCGGCAGACAGTAACGAGCCAGCACCTATCAGCAGCCTTGAATGCCGCTCTCTCCTCCTGTACTCTCAACCACTCCTCCTCCTCCTCCCTCTCCTCCTCCTCCTCCGTCCCACTCCCCTCACACGTCTCTCACTCCCCCGCGGCCTCACATCAATAAACATCTCCGACTGTCCTCTTATTACCAACCGTGGCCTGCAAACACTCCTACGCTCCCCTCCCATCGCCTCCTCCCTCGTTTCTCTTGACAGCTCCTGCTGCTGCCTCATCTCCTCCCCAGGCCTCAATCTACCTCACTCTCTCTCTGCTCTCCGTCACCTCTCTGCCTCACATCTGCCGCTTCTCGAGTCTCTCACCCTCCTCCTCCCACACTCCTGCCCTCTCGAAGAGATCTCTTTTTCCTGCTGCCCGGTTCTTCAGAAACTTGCCATCCACTCGCGCTCTCTCCGGTCTCTCAACCTCGCGGGCTGCCGAAAACTTTCCTCGCTCTCCCTCGTCTGCCCGGCCCTCTCCTCCCTCATCCTCTCCCAGTGCTCCTCCCTCGAAACATTTTCCCCAGCTGACCGTTGCCCGTCTTTAGCATCCCTGAACGCGTTCCTCTGCCGCTCCCTCCCTGCCTCCACCCTCACCACCCTCCTCACCCACGCCAAAGACCTGGAAGAGCTCAACTGTGGCGGCTGCGCGTTACTCGAGTCCGTGCGGTTACCACCCGTAACGCATGGGCGGTTAAGGAGAGTACTGCTGGAAGGGTGTCCTGTGCTAGCGTCGGTGGTGGTGCCGGCGGCATCGCTGCTCCTGCTGGACTGCCGGGGGTGCAGTCAGCTCCGGGAGGTGCGAGTGCTTGAACACCCAGCCGTTGCTGCTGAAGCTGCTGCTGCCGAAGCTGCCGCCGCTGCTGCTGCCACCGCTGGCGTTGCTGGTGTAGCTGCAACGGCATCAGCAGTGGCACCGTCACCATCGCCAGCATTACCAACAGCAGCCACAGCAGCAGCAGCAGCAGCAGCAGCAGCAGGGGGGTGCAGTCTGGGCCGTGTTCTGCTCACCAACTGCTCCTCTCTGCAGACCCTTGTCCTCCCGTACTCCTCCATCCGCCTGTCCATCCTTGCAGCTGCTGCCAGGTCCAAGTCTCACACCACCACCTCACAGAGCAGTAGCACCATTACCAGCAGCAGCAGCGGCAGCAGCAGCGGTTTTGGCTGCACCGGCAGTGGGCTGAGAGGGAACGGAGGGCAGGAGGGGGCGTGGAGGGATGTGGGATCCGGAAGTGGCGTGTGCAGTGGGGATGGGGGCCTGGCAAGGGCGAGTGGAGGAGGCAGGGGGGGTGAGAGGGGGAGTGCAGGGGTGGTGTTTGAGGCGAGTGTGAGTGGGTGCACTCTGCTGCCCCGGGAAACTCAGAGAGCGCTCAAGAGCCTGTGCAAGCTTGCACGGGCCGCTGCTTAGTCCCTCAGTTGTGGCCTAGGTCGCGAGTCGGAGAGTCTGATTAGGGTACCTTATAGGTTTCAGTGCTTCTGAGTCCTGACGCTGTACTGGCTAGTTCGTTTTTCTATGACGAATCATCTGGTATGTGCCCTGTGTTTTAGGTTCCCCATAGGCAGTACCAAAACCCGGCTGGTGCTTCAGTTCACGAACAACACTAGTAAATTAAAAGGTTATACACGACCAGCAACCAGCATGTACAGTACCGACACTTGGTTATGGTACTTCTTATACCCTGTAGGCTGTAGCAGCAGCCCGCTGCTTGCAGTGATGACTGTCAGTGGGAGCCACTTACTGCATTTAAGTGCCTAATGAAACAGCTGGACTGGCAACTTGGTAACAACGTCGATTCAATCTTATCCTTTCCTCTCCTCCTCGCTCACAATCGCGGCATGTTTTCAACCAAATCCAATCCATACCACAAGCAAACAATGAGCTCAGTATGCCCTTGCGAATATGAGTGTTCATACGGTATAGCTCCTCGCAAACCCCTCAGGTGACAGCCAGCCCACTGCTCTGCTTATCCGGGTGCAGTTGCCCGCGGAACGCCCCGTAGGGGAACTGCAGGGAGTAGGCCTGCACGTAGAAGCGCTGGGGGCGCAGCGCCATGGCGGCTGTGATGTCTGGGTCCGCCGGCACGCACAGCTGCTGCCCTGGGATGATGCGCAGCGTCTGGTACAGGTAGATGGGACCTCGCTTGTTCAACTCGCCCTGGGGGTGATTGGGAGGGGGGCAAGGGGGGTTTGAGTTGATTGAGGTGAGGAAAGGTACGTGCACAGGAGAGAGGGGGTTGCCGCCCTGGGATGATGCGCAGCGCCTCGTACAGGTAGATGGGGACTCACTTTTTTAACTCGCCCTGTGATGGGGGGGTGACGCAAGGGGTGGGGGGGGGAAGCGGGGATTAAGTGGTTCAGGCAATGTATTGCGGGCAGGTGGGGTAGGTTGGCATGGGGGAGAAGAAAGGGTTGAGCCTCTCTGAACTTGAGACGGTATGCTTCAGGCACTTTCATGGGGTGGTGCAGGGGTAGGAGGCACGGGAGAGGAGGGAGGGCAGCAGGCACGCGCAGCTGCTGCTCGGGGAACATATGGAACAGGCGGATGGGGAATGGAGGCGGGTTGACAGTGGGATGCATGGAGAGAGTGGCGAAGAGCAAGGGTGGTACCTGGTGCAGGTAGGCATAGTTGCAGTCGGTCTTGACAGAGGAGGAGAAGCGGAAGGTGTAGCAGATGCCGCCCCCGCCCAGCACAGCGTCAAAGAAACCCATGCCCGCCGCACCCGACCCCTGCCCCTGTGTGGTGGTGCCGGGGAAGTTGACCACACTGGCGCCGTACATCACTGCTGTCACGTACATGGTGTCCTGGAACTGGCCCCTCAGCGCACCGACTGGCAGGGAGAGAAGCAGGGAGAGGGGAAGTTTGGAACTCCGGGGATGAAAAAATCGAAGTTGACCACACTGGCGCCGTACATCACTGCTGTTACACCGTGTCATGGAACTGCCCTCTCAGCGCGCCGCCTGAGAGTGCAAAGAGGGGACGGGAGAGGGGAACGTGGGGAAGAGGGGTGGATGGAAGAGGGGAAGCTGACGACACTGGCACCGTACATCACTGCTGTCACGAAGATTGTGTCCTGGAACTGATCCCTCAGCGCACCGACTGTGAAGGGAGGGGAGTGGGAAATAGGGAGGATGGAAGTAGGAGAGTTGACGACACTGGCGCCATACATAACTGCTGTTACGTACATCGTGTCCTGGAACTGGCCCCTCAGCGCACCGACTGAACGAGGGTGGGGAGGAACAGTAAGGATACAAGAGGTGGAGTGGCGGGAATGGGAATGAGAAACAGCGGGGACGGAAGTGGAGAAGTGTGTGTGTGTCCTAGAACGCCCCCCCACAAAAAAATTGCACTCACACGGCAAATAGTACAAAATGCACACTACGTACATGGCATGAGCTGTGTCGTGAAGTAGACGTAGTGTGCCTGCGGCGCCGTCAGCAGCGACTGGATGGCCGTGACAGGTGGCGTGATGCCATTGGTGAAGGAGGGCGCGTTGGCGCCCGGCCAGAAGAAGTCAAAGAGGCGAGCACCGGACGAGCCTGCCACTCCCTGAATCACTGACGCGCCTATGATGCCCGCCACACCGGAGGAGTACGCGAATGAGTACACGATGCTGGGGGATGGAGAGTGGTGCGTGGAGAGTGGGGAGTGGTGAATGCGGAGGACTGAGGGGACGGGATGCAGGTGAGGGGATGATGATGATGATGCAGAGGTTGTAGGAGAATAGGGCGCGCATGATTCTTGGTATGATGGATGATTCAGCACACGAGTACCATGACGATGGGAGAGTGGGGAAGAGGTGAAGAGGCGATAGGAGCAGGGAAGGGAGATGATGCACGTGAGGGAAAGATGCAGAACAGGCAGTAGGGCAGGATAGCAGAGGTGCTTCAAGCGATGCACGCGACATACTTGGTGGGCGAGATGTCGAGGTCCACAATGGCCATGCAATCACCACCACAAAGCTCGATGTTTTCTGGGAGGCCTCAGAAAGGAGTGGGCCGCAAGGGCGTGAATGCGATAAACATACTTGGTGGGCGAGATGTCGAGGTCCACAATGGCCATGCAGTCCCCGCTCGCGCAGCTCGTAGGCACGTTTCTTGACGTCGCAAGGCTGAACAGGTGCGGGGAGAACACCAGCTGCCCGCGCAGGCTGCCCGCAGGGGTATCCACCTGGACGTAGTAACTATACGGATCTAGAGTTACGCGCTGCAGCAGGCCTAGCGCCGTGTCCACCCGCCCTGTCCCGTCCGACCCCAGCGTCTGGTTTGCCTGCGCCGCCAGCAGCGGCAGTGCCAGCGGCCCTTCCGCGCCCATTATTGAGTTGTAGACCCCAGCACCCGTTATTTGGAGCGGGCCAGTGGGCGCGGTGGAGGAGGAGGTGGTGGAGGAGGGGGAGGAGGCGGCGGGTGCGGAGGAGAGCTGGATGAGGAAGTTAACTCCTGCCATGGCTGTCATGTTGGGCTGTAGGTCTAGTACTGCCACTCCGCGCCCGGACGGGGCGGCTGGAGAGAGAAGGGGGGGCGACAATGGGAGGGCACGTGCGGGCAAGGGAATGGATGGGCGGTAAGTCGGGGGCGAGGGGAGTGGAGATGGGAGGGGTGGTGGCGGAAGGGAGGGAGGGAGGTGACAACAGAGTGATTAGGGGGCTGTGAAGGATGGAGCAGCGGCTATGGCGATAAAGAGGGTGGGAACAAGAAGGAGCAGTGCTGTTCGGGGTTTCAACCGTGCGGCTTGTGCGTGCTTTGATCTTCGAATCTTGAGGGCGGAGGGGGAAGAGTAGGGAAAGTGGGAGGGGAAGTGGGAGGGGGAGGGGAAGTGGGAGAGGAAGTGGGAGGGGGAAAGTGGGAGGAGGGAAGAGAGGCGCGGGGCGTACCAGTGGAGTTGCCTGTGGTGACCACGTGTTGGGGCGTCAGCAACGCGTACAGGGTTGGATTAAACGTGCAGCGAGCGCCGTAGAAGCACTGCGGTGGGATACGGCAGAGAGGAACGCGAGAACGGCGGGAAGCGGTCAAGGGAGAGAGAAAACGGAGTGGCGCAACTTTTAAGAGAGGAAACAGAGGCAGTGGAGGTCTGATCAGGGCTGGAGGGTGGTGGTGGGTGTAGCAGGCGAGGATTGTTTTTACGGGCGATAACTGGGGTCACAGGGAAAGACCGTGAACCGAATCAGCAAGCGGGAATCAAACTGGTGAGACCGTGAGGGTGTGTGGCGGAGGGAGGAAAAGGTGGGTGAAGCGGGGGATAAGAAAACGCACGTAAGAGTCGCAGTTGCGGATGTAGGCGACGCGGCGGTCGATTCCGGGGCAGACGCGGATCATCTGGCTGGCGATGGCGCTGTAGCAGTCGCACACCTGGTCCGGCACCTTCCACACGTTGCGGCGCAGCTGGTTCATGGCCGCCACGCACGTCGACACGTAGTCGCTGTAGCACGCGCCGTCGTACGGCAGCGCGGAGCACACGCGGCACACGTCCATGATGTTCGTGATCACTCCCACGTTCGGTACGCGCACTGCGCGGGGGAACGGGCACAGGAACAAAGGGAGTGAGATTCAGGAAGATCGATCTATCAAGCGGCTGGGGAAAAGGGATTAATTTGTTGCGCGAGTAGGAATGGTGTGGCGGGAGATCCACACCTTTTCCTCCCATACCTGCCTTTCTCTTGGCCTCTTTCGAGTGAAACATTCTCAGCCAGCTCGTTTCGACCCACCCAACAATCCAGCCCAATCTACGAACGCGAAAGTGAAACGGCACGGAGGGCGGACTCACGGGCAGGAGGAGCAGGAGGATACGGCGGCGGCGGCACGTCAGGGGGAATGTTCTTCATGCTGGAGTACGGCCATGGCGGCTGCTGCACGGCCGCAATCGGCGTCAGCCGGAGAGGAGCCGGCGGCGGCTTTGCTACTGGCTTGACGGGAGACTTGGGTGGCGGTGGTCTGGTCGGTGGCTTGGCCGGAGGTTTTGCCGGTGGTTTCGCTGGCGAAGCGGCAGTCAGTTTCGCGACGGGAATCGGGGGATTGCTCTTCGGCACTGCTGCTGGCGTTTTGAGTGGCGATGTAACTGGAGTTGCGGATGGTGGAGGCTTCTTAACGGTGGCGGCTTTGGTGGTAGCATAGATGGATTTGGGCATGGGAGGCGGTGTGGGTAGCTTGGCGGAGTCTTGAATGGGTGGCTTGGTGGCTTGTGCATGTTGCTTAGCGGCTCCTGTGGAGAGGAAGGCGGAAGCAGCTCCCTGCAATGGCTGTACACCCACGTGTAGAGTCTGACCGAATGCAACTGGTCAGGATGGAAAGGCATGCACGGTAGGTGAGGAGGAACGAGAGGGAGGGAGGCAAGAGCAATGAAGAAACTAGGAAATGGGAAGCAGCATTCTTCCAATGGTGGTTTGTTTCAGACAGCCTATAAAACGGAGATAATCAGAAATGGGTTATACCAATGATTGACCGGCGAACCCAAGCGCAAAAGAGTACCGGACCAGCCAGTTTGCAAGCCAGTGAAATGATCAGAGCGAGAGCCATTGGATCGATGGTGTTCGAGGTAGTCTGCATGACGTACCAGACGTGCACGCCTGAAAAATAACCAGGATCAGTGTCGCGCCCGCAATGGCCGCATAGGTACTTCTCTGTCGCGTTACCGGGCCCATTGTCAACTCCTGTTACTCTCAAACATCTATTGAAGAAAAAAAAAGACTGTTTGCTTCGAGACTCCTGGACCTGGATTCAAAGTTCACCCTGTTCCTGCATCAGCAGACAGTCTGATGCATTTCCCGACTGAACTAAGGACGATTTAGTATCATCCAGGCCCAGACACCCGCCTGATCCCTGGGGAATTTCAGGAAACCGCCGGGTGATGGTCGGTCCGGACGAGCCGCACCAAGCCACGGCGAGTTTTTGAAATCGTGAAATGGAGTGGCCAACCCCGAGATGCGGGTGAGGAAAATAGGAAGGGACTTCCCCTACAGGAGGGGGGGAAACCCCTCTGGGTGTTAACCACACCTGGCTGTCGGTCGTAACCCGCCTCCCCATTTGTTTACACTCCTCGCTGGGTCAACGAGGTTGTTCTATCCACTCCCAGATGAGCACCTGTGTAGCCCCTTTTAGTGGGGGCTGGCAGAACACGCCGCGGCGGGATTTGATCCCGGGACCTCATCTTTCGGAAGTGAACCAGCTACTCACTGGGCAACTTCAGGATAACTTCCCCTACAGGAGGGAGGGAACGAACGGAGGAAATCGCGGCGGAGGGAACGAACGAACTTACGAACGGAGGGACCTCCCCTCCTCCCCAGCGCGGTAATTCTGGGGGAAATCGCGCCAAGGCTAGGAATGTGAAGTTCTCAAGAGACTCGAGATTTGCAGCTCGGTTTGCCCTTGCAACTTCGTATTGGCGGACCGACCTCGGTTCGGTTGGGGGATTTTTTATGGGAAATGACACGAGCTTTGGCGCCCGCTGGTTCAGTTCGGGTGACGGTGAGATCTGACGGACGGCGAGTCTGGACAAGGGAGGATGGTCGGAGATTTCGTGGTCTGGATGCGAGGTGTGATTTTCGCGCCAGAAATTGCTGAGACTTTGGTTGCTGATTGGCAGTGAGGAATATTGAAAACGCAAGATCGCAGGCAAGTTCGACGGCTGTCAGACAGATTATTGTGAGACCAATCAAATCAAATGACAAGTGAAGAGCTAACTCGAGAAAAGAATAGTGGCAAATGCTAGAATAGTGGGCAGTGCGTAGCCCATAGAAATATATCCCAGGGGGAGGAGATTCAGCTCTTATATACACAAATGAACATTAAATGCCTCCAGACAACGTGGACATATTCTGACTACTTCAAGCAAGCTAAGGAAGAGTAAACCCCACCCTGTGCCAGCAACTCCTCGTGTTTCCCTTCCTCCACAACACTAGCATTCTGAAGCACTACAATCTTGTCAGCATGTACGATGGTGGACAACCTGTGGGCAATAATGATAGTGGTGCGATTCTTCATCACCTTTTCCAGTGCTGTCTGCACCACCTTCTCACTCTCCGCATCCAGAGCTGACGTGGCCTCATCCAGCAGCAGCAGGCGCGGGTCACCAATGATGGCACGAGCGATGGCGATGCGCTGCTTCTGCCCGCCGGAGATCTGCACGCCTCTCTCCCCCACCAGCGTGTCGTACCCCTGCGGCAGCCCCGATATGAACCCGTGCACATTCGCCGCCCGGGCCGCCTCCACAATCTCCGCCTCGCTGATTTCCCCGCCGGTGGCGCCACCGCTGCCGGCGCGGCCGTAGGCGATGTTGTCTCGGATGGAGATGTTGAAGAGCGCGGGTTCCTGGCTGACGAGGCCCATGTGTTGGCGCAGCCAGCGCAGGTTGAGAGCGGCGATGCTGCGGCCGTCCAGCAGCACGGCTCCGCTCTGTGGGTCGTAGAAGCGTTCCACCAGCGCCACCACCGTCGACTTGCCGCTGCCACTCTCCCCCACCAGCGCCACCGTCTGTTTTGCATTGTGATAGGCAGCGAAGAGAAGAGAGGGAGAGGAGGGAGCACGAGACAGGGAAGAAAAAACGTGAGGCAGCCGTAATAGTGGACACATGGTGGATATGATATTTCTTCTAAGCTGTCCACCTACACTGAATTTGTCTTGTGCACAACACACCCCCACCCACACAGTACACCCACCATTCTGACACAGCCCAGTCCCAAGCACGGGGCTTTCGGAAACGATCAGACTCAAGGGTGTTTTAGGAACTCTCAGTACAACACAACCCAGTCTCACACACCTCGCCTGCAGCAACGAGCAGGTTGAATTCCTGTAGCACAACAACGCTGGGGCGAGCCGGGTATGCGAAGCACACGGACTGAAACTGCACCTCGCCCCGCACTTCCTCGAGCTCCTCCACTCCTGCCTCCGGGTCGATCTTTGACTGGCGGTCCAAAATGCGAAAGATGGAGCTCACTGCTGTCTGCACTGTGGCCATGTCGGGGGCTAGAGCGGACTGCTTTGCCACGCTCATTGCTGACATGGCTATGGCGAAGAACACCTGGTGAGACAAGGTGGACAGGTGGGAGGGCCGGGTGGGTGGATGGCTTATGAGGCACCTCAAAAGCATGTCCGGGGCTAGAGCGGACTGCTTTGCCACGCTCATTGCAGACATGGCTATGGCAAAAAACACCTGGTGGGATACAGCAGACGGGTGGGAGGGCCAGGAAGGTGGATGAGGCAGGTGTTTGGAGCAAGGTGCATGAGCATGGAGGTTGTGAAGTGTGGTGCATGACACAGGTGCGTGGTGCAAGGAGTATGGAGTATGGGGTACGGAGCGTGGGGAATGGAGCACAGAGTGTAGAGCATGGAGCATGGAGTATGGAAAAGAGCAGGAAGCATGGCACATAGTGCAGGGCGGATGGAGCATGCAGCATGGGGCAGGAAGCAGGAAGCACAGAACAGGCATGGGCACACAAGCACACACGTACCTGGAAGACATCAGTGAACGTCGCATGGCCCCATTCCACGAGCTTCCCTCCGAACCAGAACGACAGCGCATACACGGCAAAGATGGCGAACTGCCCAAACGCCAGCCCCGCGCCGCTGACGTGGGCCTTGCGGATGCCGGCCTGGATGGGCGTGCTGCAGCGCTCGTTGTACAGCTCCTGCACGCGCTGCTCCGCTCCAAACGCCGCCACCGTGCGGATCGAGCTCACCGCGTCGTTCGCCACCCGCGACGCCTCCTCGAACTGCTCCTTGGCATCATCCGCAAACCCCTGAATCGCCCGAATCTGCATTGTCCCCGCGACCGCCAGAAGCGGTATCAGAGCGAGCACCAGCAGCGACAGCTGCCAGTTTGCTCGAAACGCGATAACCAAGCCGGTGCAGAGCGTTGCGGTGTTCTGCACGATCAAGGCTAGTTGATCTCCCACCATGTTGCGCACTTGCGCTGCATCGGTGGCAAGGCGGGCGCCGATGGCCCCACTGGAGTTCTCCTCCATGTCAAACCACCCTATCTCCTGCCGCAGAACTGCCGCGAAGCACATGATGCGCACGCGGCGGATCAGCGCGTTGCCCACGACGCCGAAGAACATGTACTGGAAGAAGGAGGTGATGCATGCGGATGCTCCGAGAACCACGAAGAGAGATGCCCAGAAGTCCGCGTCGCTGCGCATCTTGGCGAGGTCGGGTTGGTAAAACGTGGTGATGATGTTGGAGAGGATGAGAGCGAAGAAGGGGATGATAAACCCGTAGCATGCTGCGAAGATGGTGCCTATGAGTGCGTACGGCCACTCGGGCTTGTTGAGGGTCGCCAAGCGCATGATCGACGTGTGCTTCTTCTGCTTCTTCTCCTTCTCCTCCTCCTCATCCTCCTTATCCTCCGCGCCTGCCTCTTCCCCTGCATCGTTCCCAGGATGGACCTCTCCCTTCCCTGCCTTCCCTGTCTTCCCTCCCTTCCCCCCCTTACGCATTCGACGCAGCAGCCTGCTACAGAAGCCCCTATGGCCTTTCCCTTCCCCTTCCCCCTCCCCCTGCTCGTCTCCCTTCCCACTCTCCACGTCCCTTCCCTCGCTCATCCGCGTACGTGCCTGCTCCCCTTCCGTCCCCTTCATCTCACTGTCACCAGTCGTGGCAACACCACCAGCACCTGCCTGCACCCCTCCTGCCTCTGCGTCGCGAGCGGATGCTGCTTCCTGTGAGACTGAGACCCCCCTCGCATTACCACCGGCGGCACTCAAACCCAAACCTCCCTTCCCATCCCCCTCCACCTTCTCATCTCCCTCAACTTTTCCTCCCTCTTCCCCCTTCCCCTCCTCCCCCCCTCCTTCGCCCGCCAGCTGCTGAAGGCGCACGAGTTGGGCGTAGGCGCCTTGGGAGTCGGCCAGTAGGGCAGCATGCGTGCCGGTCTGCACGACGCGCCCCCTCTGCAGCACGGCGATGCAGTGCGCGCGGCGCACGGTGGAGAGGCGGTGCGCGACGACGAGCGTGGTGCGCGCGCCCATGAGCGCGTCCAGCGCGCCCTGCACCACCTGCTCGCTCTCCGCGTCCAAAGCCGACGTCGCCTCGTCCAGCAGCAGCACGCGCGGATTCCGCAGAATCGCCCGCGCGATCGCCACGCGCTGCTTCTGCCCCCCCGACAGCTGCGTGCCCCTCTCCCCCACCTGCGTCTCGTAGCCCTGCCGAGAAGGTGGGAGGGGGGGGAGGAGGAGGCGGAGAGAGGTAAGGATGGGAGTGAAGGCCTACAGGGGGCAAGGGAGGCATATACGGGTTGCAAGAGAGTGCAAGGAAGCGAGGGATAGAGGGAGGGAGCGAGTGCATGGGTTGCAAGAAAGTGTAAGGGAGTCAAGGGAGAAAAAGAACAAGGGAGAAGATGAGGGAGCGGCCCCACGTACGTCAGGCAGCGACTGGATGAAGTGGTGGATGTTGGCGAGGCGAGCGGCCTCTTGAATCTCTTCGAGGGTGGCGCCGTCCTTGCCATAAGCGATGTTCTGGCGGATGCTCGTGCCGAAGAGTGCGGGTTCCTGGCTGACGAGGCCCATGTGTTGGCGCAGCCAGCGCAGGTTGAGTGCGCCGATGCTGCGGCCGTCCAGCAGCACGGCTCCGCTCTGCGGGTCGTAGAAGCGTTCCACCAGCGCCACCACCGTCGACTTGCCGCTGCCACTCTCCCCCACCAGCGCCATGGTCCGCCCCGCCGGCACCGCCAGGCTGAAGCTCTCAAAGATGGGCACGTCTGGGCGCGACGGGTACGCAAACGTCACCTCGCGCAGCTCCAGCGCCCCCTCGCACACCGCTGGGCGCTCCCCCTCGTCGCTGCTGCTGTCTATCACTGGCTGCCTCTCCAACACCTCAAATATCTTCCCCGCTGCTGCCTGCCCTGAGGCGAAGGCTGTCACTTCTGGTGCCACCTGTCCCAGAGATCTGCGGGAAGGGCAGGGGCGAGGGTGAAAGAACGGAAGACGGGGGAGAAAATGAGTCGTCTCATGCTCCACACCCCACATTCCCACATTCCCACATTCCCACATTCCCACATTCCCACATTCCCACATTCCCACATTCCCACATTCCCACATTCCCACATTCCCACATTCCCACACTCACAAGCCCATATCGTCACACTCACAATCCCCCAGTCTGACACTCACAGATGCCCTAGAACACACACTCCCATCATAACCCTCCCAAAGCACAGACTCACACGCCGCCAATAATAAAGCCAAACAGCACAGTGAAGACATTTTCTCCCGATATGGCACGACATGTCACGACAGGACAGTGCGCCACACTGCACCACACCGCACCGCACTGCACGCACCACACCACACCATACCACACCACACCACACCACCCCACCCCACCAGACACAAGACACCCCCGTGCAGGACTCACACGCCACCGATGCTAACACCGAAGAGCACGGTGAAGACATCCCCTCCCGTGTAGCCCGCATTGAAAGAGGGAGTGGTCACCTCATCCTCCACACCAGCCCACACAGCAATCACAACCCTCCCCACAGCACAGCACAGCACTCACACGCCGCCGATGATAACTCCAAAGAGCACCGTGAAGACGTCGCCTCCCGATACAAGCGACATGTCACGACAGGACAGTGCACCGCACCGCACCGTACCGCACCGCACCGCACTGCACCACACCACACCACCCCACCCGACACAAGACATCCCCTTGCAGGACTCACACGCCGCCGATAATAACACCGAAGAGCACGGTGAAGACGTCGCCTCCTGTGTAGCCGGCATCGGCGATCATCTTGGAGCCGTACCACAGCGCGAGCGCGTACGAGGAGAACATGATGAACACCGTGAGGCCCAGCCCCGCCCCCGCTGCCACTGACTGCTTCACGCCCTCTCGGAACGCCCTGTGGAGCTTGCCTGCGTACTGCTGCACTGCCCTGTGCTCGCCCGTGAATGCCGCCACCTGGGGAGGGGAGGGGGGCGGGGACGGGTGGGAGGGTGTGAGATGGAGCGAGAGAGCATGGAAGGAGCGCGTTGTGGTAAGGAGCATGGGAATAGGGAGGGGGTGGTGTGGGGGTGAAAGGTTGTGCGGGAAGTGGTGTGGGGGGGAGAGATAGGTTACGCACGCAGGACGAGAACGTGCTTGTGCAGTGTAGCTCATGTCAGAATCCACCCGAATTCACAAAATGTGGTTTGGGTCTTGGCGGTGTTACAATGCAGGGCAAACATGAGCAAGCCCACTCTGCAGAATTGCTCCGCTGGCGAGTGAGTGAGTAAACTTCATGTACAGGCATGCTGTGCTTGCAGTGCTTGGGTTGGAACCATTTGGGCTTGGGGGTCATGAGACCTCATGGGGGTGGCAGATGGGGACAAATGGGACCCGGCAAGGGCATCATGCCGCACCACGGACCCTGCTGAATGAGCTCACCGTGCGAATGGCAGAGACGCACTCCTCCACGATAACCCCAGCAGCGCCGTAAGCAACCTGCCCCTTGGAGGAGGAGATGGAGATGAGCAGTGCCATCATGGCGCCCGCTCCTGCGAGAAGAGGCAGCGTGGCGAGCATGAGCAGCGCCAGCTGCCAGCCCGCCAGGAATGCGATGATGAACCCGCCTGCGAACTGCGCCATGTAGCGCAGGAACGAGCCCACCTGGGAAGGGGGAACGGGTGAAGGGGGAAAGAGAGGGACGGAGAGGAAGGGTGATTTGAATGCGCGGTAACGCGATGATAAACCCGCCCGCGAACTGCGCCACGTAGTGCAGGAACCAGCCCAGCTGGGAGGGGTGAAGGTTGGAAGAGGGGGACAGACGGGGAAGGTGTTTTGAAGGGGCAGGAATGCAACGATGAAGCTCTTGTCTAACTGCACCATGCAGTGCAGGAACGAATTCACCTGGGACCAGGACAGGAAGGAGCGAGAGGAGGGGCCGGGCCGAGAGTTAAGGGGAGGGGTACGGGCGGGGAGAGAAGGAGAAGGGAAATGTGCTTCATGACCCCCATGCCCCCTGCACTGTACCTTCTCGCCCATGGCGTCCCGCGCGTTACCTTCTCGCCCATGGCGTCCTTTACTCACCTTCTCGCCCATGGCGTCCTGCACGAGCACGATGTCGCCGGACATGTGGCCGATGACCTCGCCCGTGCTCAGGCGGCGGTCGAAGTAAGCCATGTCCTGCCGCAGCACCGCCGCCAGGTACCGCCTCCGCACCCGCGCCGCCTGCCGCTCGCCCGTCGTCATCCAGCACGCCATCTCTGCCGCGCACGCGGAAGGCACGCACGCGCGCACGGCGGGGAGGAGAGAGGATATGTGGGTGGGCAGTGGAAAGAAGGGAGGGCGGGAGGTTAGGAGAATCTGTTTTTGAAAGAAGGCTTTGGAAGGCAAAGGGAGGGAGGAAAGATGGAGGAACAAAATGCGTGAGAGCTAGTAGCGGGTGAAAAGAGCGGAAAGTAGTAGATAAGCAGGAAGGAACTCCGGCTTGAAACACTAGATGTATGGAAAAAAAAGAGCAATGAAGAAATGTTACTGAGGAATGAACAACGAGCGAATGTTCAGGATGAACACACAATGAAGAAATGTCAATGAAGAAAGTAATTAATTAAAAGTTAATGAAGCAAGAGCAATGAAGAAATATTACTTAAGAAGGAGCAATGAGGAAATGTTAATGAAGAAAGCGCAATGAAGAAAGGAAGTGAGTGCGAATTCTGCGCGACACACACACGGCGCAGCACTCACCAATGTACCCTGCAACACCTGCGCCGATAGCCAGGTATACAAATTTAATGGCCACCTGCGGAGCAATCAGCGATAAGTTCAGGCAGCACGGATGGGGATGCAAGAAGAAGGCAGAAAAAAAAAAAAAAAAACATTTATCAGGAGCTGTATCATCCCAACGCGGCTCTCAGAGACCTCCTTCGGCCTTCACCGACAAGATAACCGGGTACGGGACACAGTCAGGCTGGTGTTGTACTGCGTTGCAAGAGGCAACGCTGGCTTTCAAAACCCCACCGCATCACACACAACTCGTGTGTGACACAGCCCTCCACTGAAACACTGAAGCATGCATCAATTCCCATCCGTGAACCCCCGTCAGTCGAATTCCCATCACAATCAATCCCCCAGCGTTCGACCCCCATTTTAAACCACGTCCTTCAATCGCCAACAAACAACTGGTCCCCTCATTCAACTTCCCCCCTCCCCAAAATTTTCCCCCCTATCCTCCCCCAAGCGCGCACGTCAGTGACAGCGTTGAGCAGCGCGGAGGGGTTGGCAGAGTTCTGCCCGAATGCGTCCGTGAGGTCACCGAAGAGCAGCGAGATGAGCGGAAACGCGACGCCCAGCCCTATGGCGGCCGTGGACCCGCATAGCATCAGCAGCACGTCCCACCCATCCGCAAACTTGAAGAGCTCCCAGAAGTGAACCTTTCGTGTGGGCTCAGAATCATTCTCCTCGCTTGAATCCTCTGGAAGCTTCTTCTCTTCCGGTTCGTCCAGCTTTTCTAAATCTGCCTGTTTAGGTTTCTCGCCATCGGTGTGGTCGGTATCCCTGTCTACTATTACTAGCTTACGACTATCTTCGTCCGCTTCACTCTCATCCATGCTTCAAACCTGTACGCTCGTCTCCTTGATGCCTTTCTGTGAAATGACCCGAAGCCTTGACGTTGGCTAGAAAGGGAGGACAAGATAGTACTACGCTGAGCTGAAAAATGTCACTGGGATGCTGTGATAGAAGGAACTTGAAACAAGAAATCACCAGAGGAAGGGGAAGCTCGAGAATGGACCTAGGGCCTTTCAGTACATTGGCTGGACCTTGGGAATGTCACACTGCTGGGTTCCGTCTCTCGGGAATTTCCCGACCCGGCCCGACTCGAAACATTTTTCGGATCGCCCGAACTGTTGTCAGGAAATGGAGGCAGAAAAATCATGCGCATTCCAGCTCTTCGTACGTGCTGACATCGTTGAAGTGCACGTGGCAGATGACGCATGTGTTCTTCGCTGGGTATGGGTTGAAAGCTGACGCGACAACCCAACGTACGCTAGTTTATCTTCCCCCAGATTCCACATTGACAGTTGATTGCCCCTGAAGTGTCCTGAGAGATGTTGCTAACCAATCCTGGTGGAGCGTGAGGACGTGGCAAGCACGATAAGTGTGTCATAGATGTTACGACAAATATGCGTCAGACAGTGCCACCCAATCGATGTTGGCAGCTGAACCTTTGTTGTTCATGCCACACCTCGGCAGCTCCAACCACAAGCTCCTCATATGACGTCATACGATATTACCTCGGCCCTTCTTGAGACGGTTACCAAATAACCACTAGGCGTTACCGAACAAGACAGCAAACAGCTATGGAAGTCATGCTGGGTGCGGCGACAGTTGGCGAAGCTTCATCTGACAAAAACCTTCACGCCACGGAGTTCAACCAGTACGATGGCGACGTGCCGAGCCGAGCAGCAAGCCAGGGAGTACGTCTCCATGGCCCCCACCCCCACTAGTCTTTTTCCTACTCCGTCACTTCTGGATACACTGCTGCTTCTGTAGAATGTTTTTTTTTGCACTATCATTTATGGTATTGTGCTTTATGTCCAAGTGAATGGCCTTTTTTGTCCCGATGAATGGGGAAAAAAAAAAACAATAAATCTCAGGGTTGTGCCTCGCCTCCGTACCGAAACCAAGCTTGTCGGTGAGGTTCGGCATGGACAGCACCGCAAGTCCCGCTTGCCTTGGTGCCTCACGAAACTCCCTACACCACGCCGCTGTGCGAGTGTACCGCATTCTTCTCGCCGTGCCACGCCGCTTCACCACTGACAAGCACACAGCGCCCATCCAGCAATGCACAGCCGTATTGGCTGGCCTTGCTGGCAGCACCCATCCCGCTCACTCACCTCTCGCACTTTACGCATAGAAAAAGCAACCAAGTCAGCCTACTCTCCAACAGCACAGTGCGTGACATTTCCATCCGATCTGAACCTCCGCGCCTAACAAGGTTAGACTAGAACAGTAGAAACCCGCTTATACATTAGTTCCGGGCTGGGTGTTTCTCATGCACAGACTTCTCGGTGCGGTTCGGTACCGCAACCATGGGATCGGATTTTGAAGCCCTTCGCGAATCGGACGACAAAGGCCGTCAAGCCCTGGCCGAAGAACCGTCAGATCCCACAGCCGCCACAGATACTTCCGCCGAGAAGAAACGCGAGGGGGAGAGCGCAGCCAATGGCGAGGCGTTAGAACCAGGCGATGAAAAGAAGCTAGCAGAGAGCAAGGAAGAGGAGAAGAAGGAAGACGTACCGACGGTGTATTACTGGCAGCTGTTCAAGTTCGCGGATAAATGGGACATTCTGCTCATGATCGTGGGATCCGTGTGCGCCATCGGGCTCGGCATGGCCATGCCCATGATCTCGCTGCTCTTCGGCGAGTTAACGAACGCCTTCGGACAGAACACCACCGATGTCAATAAGCTCATGGACGCCGTTACCAGTGTGAGTCGCGTGCTCTAACTTGCTCTGGTTCCGACCTACGCCTAGCTTTCCCGTGATGAGCACGAAAGACTGAAGCAGCATTGCATTTCAACCTCATTCATTTTGCGAAAGTCATCACCTCTCGACGAGACGGACACGACGACAAATAGAATGATATTTCTTTCTCTCACAAGATTCCTTTTTTTTTTTTCCACCCGACCGTTTTCTTCTTTCCATGAACCATCTCAGGTCGCGCTCAAGTTCCTTTACTTGGCCATTGGAGCCGCCGTGGCCGCGTACCTCGGTTCGTCCACTCGTCCTCGCGTTCTCTAATTATTCCCGCTTTCCGGCCTTCGATTCCCCCCTTCCCGCTATTGCGTCCCGCCGTCGCCTCACGCTTTATGCTAATCTCCTGCTCTTGCGCTCCCTCGCTTTCATTTCGAGATCCACAATCCCTCCTCTCCGCGCTTCCCTTCCGTCGACACTAACAGCAATCAATCTACCCTTCCTCCCCGCCGGCCCCGTTCTATCTGCGCGTGCGCGGCAGAGATGGCGTGCTGGATGACGACGGGCGAGCGGCAGGCGGCGCGGGTGCGGAGGCGGTACCTGGCGGCGGTGCTGCGGCAGGACATGGCTTACTTCGACCGCCGCCTGAGCACGGGCGAGGTCATCGGCCACATGTCCGGCGACATCGTGCTCGTGCAGGACGCCATGGGCGAGAAGGTAACGTGCAGGACGGTTATTGTTACACAAAAATAACTGTACCAGAGGCTGTTTTTGACAGTAGGTGCTGCTGATACTCTTGCTTTATCCGCCCGCCTTCCTCTCACCCGGCGGATCTCAGATCAGACCCCACGCTCTCCTCTATCTCTCCAGCAACCAATTTGCCGCGCTGCTTGCAGCAGCTCGTTGTGGGGCAGGGGCTTTGGGGGGTGCTTGTGGTGTCCGTCCCCCCTAATCTTCCCCCAAATCAACCCGTTCCTACGTGTCTCCCCATCATGCCCCCATTTCACCCCTGTGATTTCTCCGTTCCCTCCTCCCCTTTCCCTTCCCGTGCGGTATCTCCCCCGCACGTGCGCAGGTGGGCAGATTCCTGCGCCTCATGGCGCAGTTCGCTTCCCGATTCATCATCACCTTCCTGCCTTCACTAGGCCTCTCACTCAAGCCTCTCGCTCTCCCTCTCTTCCCCCTTCCCCCATCCCCCCCCCTTCCCCCATCCCCTTCCCCCATCCCCTTCCCCCTTCCCCCATCCCCTTCCCCCTTCCCCCATCCCCTTCCCCCTTCCCCCATCCCCTCCCCCCTTCCCCCATCCCCACCCCCCTTGCAGGTGGGCATATTCCTGCGCTTCATGGCGCAGTTCGTGGGCGGGTTCGTGGTGGCGTTCATAGCTTCACCAGCCTTCTCACTCAACCCCTTCTCCCTCATCCCCTCCCGCCTCCCTCCCTCAACCTCCCCCATCCCCCCCACCCCCCTTGCAGGTGGGCATATTCCTGCGCTTCATGGCACAGTTCGTGGGCGGGTTCGTGGTGGCGTTCATAGCGGGCTGGCAGCTCACGCTCGTGATGCTGGCCGTGCTGCCGCTGCTGGCCGCAGCAGGCGCCACCATGACGGTCATCGTGAGCAAGTCGTCCAACAAGGGCCAGGAGGCCTACGCTGCTGCCGGCACCATTGTCGAGGAGTGTGTCTCCGCCATCCGCACTGTCAGTTCCCTCTCGCTCCCGCTCTCTCTCTCCCTCTCGCTCTCCCTCTCCCTCCCTCTCATGCCTTCCCTTCTCCTCTTCACCTTCCTCTTTGCCCTTCGTTGCTCCTACTTCTCCCGCCTTCTCTTTCCCTGTTCTTCCTTCGCCGTCCTCCCCGCTCCTCCCTTGCCCTTAGCCTGTTCATTCTGTTCTCCCCCTCCCACTAAGCTCACTGTTCCCCTCCCCCTCTTTCTTTTTTTCTTCCCCGCCTTATCTCACCCATCCACGCACCCACATCTCCCACATTCTCCCACATTCTCCCTCACCTTGTGTTTGAGTTGACTCAAAGCACCCCTCCCACGCCTCCCTCGCACGCCTCCCACTCCCCCAGGTGGTGGCATTCACGGGCGAGCACAGGGCGGTGCAGCAGTATACAGTGAGGCTGAACAAGGCGTTCCGCGCGGGCATCAAGCAGAGCATGAGCGCTGCGGTGGGCATCGGGTGCACGGTGTTCATCATGTTCTCCTCGTACGCGCTCGCCCTGTGGTACGGCTCCAAGCTGATAGCGGATGCCAGCTACACGGGAGGAGACGTCTTCACCGTGCTCTTCGGGGTCCTCATTGGCGGCATGTGCGTGCTGAGCTGAGACAGGGACGCAGGGTGAAGATTGGGGCGAGTGAAGGGGGGGGGGGAGGGCGGGGGGAAGGGGGAATGGGGGGAGTGAGTGAGGGTCGAGTAAGTGTGAGTGCTCTTTGCTGTGCTCATCAATGGCGTGAGCTTGTGGGCGTGTTGGGGGACGGCTGCAAGCTCATTGCCGACGCCGTGCTCATTGGCGGCATGTGGTGTAAAGGGACGGGAGGGTGAAGATCGGGGCGAGTGAAGAGAGGTGGAGGGGTGAGGGGAAAGGGAGAATGGGGGGAGAGAGTGAGGGGCAGGTGTGAGTGCTCTTTGCTGAGCTCATGAATGGTATGCTCTTTGCTTGTGGGGGTGTCGGGGGAAAGGTCTCTAAGCTGATAGCTGATGCCAGCTATACCCGTGGAGACGTCTTCACTGTGAATTGGCGGCATTCGGCGTGCTCATTGGCGGCATGTGAGTGATGAGGCAGGGTCGCGGGTGGGTGAGGGGAGTGGGAAGGGAGAGAGGGAGGGTGGGAAAGGGTGGGGTGGGGATGGATGACGGGACGTGTAGTTATGGCTGTGTATTCAAGCTTCTGGCCCTCCGTTATCTGCCCAGTTCAAAGCATTCTTCTTCCTCTACTGTAACAAGCAATCTTCCTCCTCTCCTGCCCACTTCCCACATTTTCTCACTCCTCTCTTCTCCGCTCGTCCCCTCAGGTCGCTGGGTCAAGCAGCCCCCAACGTGTCAGCTTTCGCCTCAGGGCAGGCAGCAGCGGGGAAGATCTTTGAGGTGTTGGAGAGGCAGCCAGTGATAGACAGCAGCAGCGACGAGGGGGAGCGCCCAGCGGTGTGCGAGGGGGCGCTGGAGCTGCGCGAGGTGACGTTTGCGTACCCGTCGCGCCCAGACGTGCCCATCTTTGAGAGCTTCAGCCTGGCGGTGCCGGCGGGGCGGACCATGGCGCTGGTGGGGGAGAGTGGCAGCGGCAAGTCGACGGTGGTGGCGCTGGTGGAACGCTTCTACGACCCGCAGAGCGGAGCCGTGCTGCTGGACGGCCGCAGCATCGGCGCACTCAACCTGCGCTGGCTGCGCCAACACATGGGCCTCGTCAGCCAGGAACCCGCACTCTTCGGCACGAGCATCCGCCAGAACATCGCTTATGGGAAGGACGGCGCCACCTTTGAGGAGATTCAAGAGGCCGCTCGCCTCGCCAACATCCACCACTTCATCCAGTCGCTGCCCGACGGGTACGAGACGCAGGTGGGGGAGAGGGGCACGCAGCTGTCGGGGGGGCAGAAGCAGCGCGTGGCGATCGCGCGGGCGATTCTGCGGAATCCGCGCGTGCTGCTGCTGGACGAGGCGACGTCTGCTTTGGACGCGGAGAGCGAGCAGGTGGTGCAGGGCGCGCTGGACGCGCTCATGGGCGCGCGCACCACGCTCGTCGTCGCGCACCGCCTCTCCACCGTGCGCCGCGCGCACTGCATCGCCGTGCTGCAGAGGGGGCACGTCGCGCAGACCGGCACGCATGCTGCCCTACTGGCCGACTCCCAAGGCGCCTACGCCCAACTCGTGCGCCTTCAGCAGCTGGCGGACCCGGGACAAGGGGAGGGGGTGGAAGGGGGAGATGAGAAGGGAGAGGGGGTTGAGAATGGCGAGGGGAAGGAGGGTGGGAGGTTGAGCGCTTCGCAAGCAGTTGTGGGGAATGGGGAGGCAGCGGGAGCAAGAGTAGCCCCGGTTGAGGGTGCTAGTGCTGTTGATGGGGAAGGTGTTGGTGGGATGAAGAAGACGGAAGGGGGTGAGGAGGATGGGCTGATTAGCGAGGGGAGGGATGTAGAGAGCAGTGCGGGGGAGAAGCAGGATGAGAAGGCAGGCAGTGGGGGCTTCTTCAGCTCATTCCTGCGAAAGCGCAAGGGAGAGAAGCCGGCCGGGGAAAAGGGTGCAGGAAAGGCAGGAAAGGAAGGGGAGGGCGGGGAGGGAGCAGACGGTGAGGAGGAGGGGGAGAAGAAGAAGAAGAAAGTCGCATTCAAAGACACGCCCATGGCTCGCCTGGCGATGCTGAACAGGCCCGAGTGGCCGTATGCGATCCTGGGATCCATTGCAGCAGTAGTCCACGGCGTGCTCATGCCCTTCTTCGCTCTCATCCTCTCCAACATCATCACCACCTTCTATAACCCCGACATCAGCCAGATGCGCAGGGACGCGGATTTCTGGGCCAGCATGTTTGTGGTGCTGGGAGCGAGCGCGTGCGCGGCTATTGCGAGCCAGACGGTGCTGTTCGGTGTGGTGGGGTACTCGCTGATCAGGCGCGTGCGCGCGCTGTGCTTCTCGGCCGTGCTGCGGCAGGAGATTGCGTGGTTCGACAGGGATGAGAACTCCAGGTGAGTCAATCTTTGACTGCCTCTTTCTTTGTTTCTGCCTCTGTCACTCTAGGTTTCCCTCTGTCTCTGTCTGGCTCTGTCCATCTCTCTCTAAAAGACACCTCTGTCCTTTCCTCCGCCCACCAGCGGTGCCATTGGCGCACGCCTGTCAACCGATGCAGCGCAGGTGCGGGGAATGGTGGGCGATCAGCTGGCGCTCCTGGTGCAGAACCTGTCAACAGTCGTGCTGGGCCTCGTACTGGCCTCTCACAGTGCACCACTCAAGACGGATCAAAAGCAGCTGCCACTCACAGTTACATTTCTGACACGCTTCAAAGAAACGCCCCTGCCATTTCTGTCCTCCTCCCTCCCCCCACCAGCGGCGCCATTGGAGCTCGTCTCTCAACGGACGCGGCGCAGGTGCGAGGAATGGTGGGCGATCAGCTGGCGCTCCTGGTGCAGAACCTGTCAACCGTCGTCCTGGGTCTCGTGCTCCCCTCTCACAGTGCACCACTCAAGACGCCTCAAAATAATCCACCCTGTGCCCCCCCAACCTTCCCCCACCAGCGGTGCGATCGGCGCGCGCCTGTCAACAGACGCAGCACAAGTCCGCGGAATGGTGGGCGATCAGCTGGCGCTCCTGGTGCAGAACCTGTCAACAGTCGTGCTGGGCCTCGTGCTGGCGTTCCGAGCCAACTGGCAGCTGTCGCTGGTCATTCTCGCCATCGTGCCACTGCTGGCCATCACTGGCACTGCGCAAATGCAGTCGCTCAAAGGGTTCTCTGAAAACGCCAAGGTGCGCTCAGCTCGGGATTGGGTGCTTCTGAGGCGCCTTAAAAGGTGTGCTGCACAGGGTGGTGTGCTGCACAGGGTGGTGTGCTGTATGGGATTGGGTGTTGCAAGTGTTGTGATGGGCGTGATCGTGTTAGAGCGGATGCGAGTGGGAGGGGGGTGGAGAAGGGCCCCACAGTACAGCAGCTTCTCTCCAGCGCCAAGCAATTATCTTGTCTTGTTCTGCCAGTGTCTGATTCTTGTTCTGTCTGTGTGCTGGCCCTTGTGGGAATCTTAACTCTGACTCTGCTTTGCACCTCCGCCTTTTTCCACGCGGCAGGTCAAGTTTGAGGAGGCGTCGCGGGTGGCGAACGACGCGGTGAGCTCGATCCGCACGGTGGCGGCGTTTGGAGCGGAGCAGCGCGTGCAGGAGCTGTACAACGAGCGCTGCAGCACGCCCATCCAGGCCGGCATCCGCAAGGCCCACGTCAGCGGCATCGGCATGGCTGTCGCTCAGTTCTCCATCTTTGGCGTCTACTCCCTCGCATTCTGGTTCGGAGGGAAGCTCGTACAGCAAGGGAAAACCACGTTTCAAGACGTTTTCCAGGTGGGTGGTTTGAGGCCGGGTGGGGGGCGTGGCAGGTGTTATGGCAGCTGGTTTTGCTCGTTCTCACGATGCTGCCTCCTTCGAAAATGTTTCCATGCGTCTTGCGTTCTCCTTATACCTTACACCTTATACCTTTCTTGCTTTTTTTGTCATCTCTTGCTTCTAGCTCTGCCTCATCCCTTCCCCTGTACCCACCACACACACACACATGCACTCCTCGCACCCTCCATGCCCCTGCCAGGTCTTCTTTGCAATCGTGTTCACAGCAACAGGCATCGCTCAGGCAGCAGCACTGGCTCCAGATATGCCCACAGTGCAGACAGCAGTGAATTCCATCTTTCGCATTTTGGACCGGCAGTCAAAGATCGACCCGGAGGCAGGAGGGGAGGAGCCCGAGGAGGTGCGGGGCGAGGTGCAGTTTCAGTCCGTGTGCTTCGCGTACCCGGCTCGCCCCAACATCCCTATTCTTTCCGATTTCAACCTGACAGTGCCATCCGGTCAGGTGCGTGGTAATGGTTCTGTGCGCTCACAAGTGCTGCTCTCCTATTGCCTCTCTTTTCTCTTGCTGTGAGTGCAAACAGCAACGCACTTTTTGTTTTCCTAGTGAAAAGTCATAGCTTTCTGGCGACTGCGCTTCTTCTCTGTTTCCTATCATCCTCCCACAAATCTTCTGACCCTTCCAGTTTCCTTCCAGTGTCCCTTTAGTTCCAAAAGAACTTTTGTGTGTGTTTTCCCTTCATCTTCTTCTTGCATGCTCAACCCCTTGCTCTTCCACACGACTCCCCATCCCTCCCTCCTCAGACGGTTGCGCTGGTGGGGGAGAGTGGCAGCGGCAAGTCGACGGTGGTGGCACTGGTGGAACGCTTCTACGACCCGCAGAGCGGAGCCGTGCTGCTGGACGGCCGCAGCATCGCCGCTCTCAACCTGCGCTGGCTGCGCCAACACATGGGCCTCGTCAGCCAGGAACCCGCGCTCTTCAACATCTCCATCCGAGACAACATCGCCTACGGCCGCGCCGGCAGCGGCGGCGCCAGCGGCGGGGAAATCAGCGAGGCGGAGATTGTGGAGGCGGCGCGGGCGGCGAATGTGCACGGGTTCATCTCGGGGCTGCCGCAGGGGTACGACACGCTGGTGGGGGAGAGAGGCGTGCAGATCTCCGGCGGTCAGAAGCAGCGCATCGCCATCGCTCGCGCCATCATTGGTGACCCGCGCCTGCTGCTGCTGGATGAGGCCACGTCAGCTCTGGATGCGGAGAGTGAGAAGGTGGTGCAGACTGCACTGGAAAAGGTTATGAAGAATCGCACCACTATAGTTATCGCCCACAGGTTGTCCACGATCAAGGATGCGGATTGTATTGTGGTGATGCAGAAGGGAGTGGTGGTGGAGCAGGGGAATCATGAAGAGCTGATGGCTGGTGGAGGGGTGTACTCGAGTCTTGTTTCTATCAAGTGATTGTGTGCTGCTGTGGTAGATGGAGCTTGCAGTTTTATATGGTTTACTTATCTTCTCTACCGTAGCTGAACCACGATAGCATGTGTAGGTGTCGGTATATCATGTATTAATATACTGAAAAAATTGTTTAATGACGAACAAGTACAACCAAGGATTGCGATGACAACCAAATTGTTCCACTTCACATGACCCCAAAACAACAGACACAGCCAAGCAACCCCACATCCGCCACATAACACCCCCATTCCACCCTACCCACATACCCTTCCACTATCACAAATCAGAATCAAACCCCACATTCCAGAACCCAGGCGGCGTGGACGGAGGTGCAAAGCGGTACCGGTGCCGAGACGCCTCCTGGTGCTGCTCGCAGCGAGGCACCATCACACCGTCCACGTCCCCTTCCAGAATCGCATCGTAGAACTTGCGGCACGTCTCACACTCGCCTGCCTGCAGCGCCTCTCGGTCTGCTTTCTTCCGAACCACGTCCACGTATTTGTATGGAGGGGGAGGCCCGCTGGCTCTGCCCTGCCTGCTGGGCTCTTGCGGGTTGAACGCTGCTGTTGCGGTTGGTCCTTGTGCTGCTGCTGCTGCTGCTGCTTCACCTGGTGCTGGCTCGCCCCTTGCTGCTGCTCTTATGCTTGCTGCTGTTCGCCTTGTACCTTCAGGGACTGCCGCTGCTGTTGCTGCTGCTGCTGCTGATGCTGCTGCTGCTGCTGGCAATGCACCGCTGGGTATCTTGTTAACACCACTTCCAACACCACCACCACCACTCCCACCACCACAACCAGCTGCAACACTGCCGTCACAACCACCAACACCACCGCCAACAGCACCACCACTCCCTCCTCTTCCTCCCTCCTCCCCCCTTCTCCCGCCCTGCTTCCTCACTCCATTCGCACCCGTTTCAGCACCACCGCCACCTGCAATCCTATCCCACGCAGCTCTCTCTGGTGAGTCCAACAGGTCAATATCACAGTTGCCCACACCTGCACCACCAGTGCCACCAACCGCTGCAACTGCGCTGCTGCCAACTGTCTTAGCACACCGCCATCGCGACGTCTTCACCCCTCCCTGCAGCTTCCCTCCCACTTCTGCTGCTGTCCCTGCGGTCCGGGGTAAGGGCGGACGACCAGGTAGCACCTGAGCTTGCAGTGCCTGCGGTGGCAGTGGCACTTGTGCTGGTGGTTGCGGTAGCAGCTGTGGTTGTGGCTTATCTTGCTGCTGAGACTTCAAGCCTGTTTTCTTGAACCTCTTCCGCCCTCTTCCTGTCTCCTCAGCGCCACTTGCTCCCAAACCAACCACGATAATATCAGCATCAGGCACTCCTGCTGTCTTTGCTCCATCATCCGCCCCTCTTTTCTTCTCGCTGCTCTGCTGCACACCAGCAGCACCAACAGCATCAACAGCACCAAGTGCACTCCTTGCTCCGCCTTCCTCGTCCATGCCATCCAAGTCCAACAGCACCTGCCCCTGATGCCCTTGCCTCTGCTGCACCAGCCCCTGTTCCTGCTGCTCCTTCTGTCCCTCCTCCTGCTGCTGCTGCAACGAGTTTTGTCGATCCATATCATCCCCATGCCACAGCATGTTCTGCGCTAATACCTCCAGATCTGGCTCCTTCTCCTGCTGCTGCTCCTGCTCCTGCTCCTGCTCCCGCTCCTGCACATACTGCTTGTTCTCGTTCCCCGGCTGTTCCAACTGCTTCTCCTCATTCTTCCTTCCAGGTTGCTGTTTCGCCTGTGGCAGGCTACCAAGACCATGTGTGAAGGAGCGAGAAGTAGATCGGGCAGCAGAGCTGCTGCGAGTGGCCCATGCAAACTTCTCACCAGAGTTAGCCCCTCGTCTGCTGATTCCTGCGTATGCTGAGGACTCACTACTCAACTTGTCATCTCTTCCCACCCCAACAGCATCACCAGAACCACCAGCATTACCACCGCCCGCAGCAGCAGCAGAAGTGAGCATGAAAGAACGTTTGGAAGCACTGACAGCCCGCCTGCTTCCTCCTGAGAAGTGCCGTGCAAGACACGTCTGCTTCAGAGCTCCGCCCTGCTGCTTCTGTGAGGAGGACTCCCCATCCCCTCGTCCGCGCCACACCCTCCCATTACCAACCCCGTCTCCACCGCTGCTGCTTCTGCCGCTGCTGCTGGTGCTGCTGCTCCTCCGCGCACATGCACTGCCACCAATCCCGTCCTCTCCTGCTACACCTGCACCCACCTCTGCTCCGGCCCCGTTCATCCCTGCGAATCCGTTCCCGCCCTCGCCCTTCAACTCTGCATGCACACCCACAGCGTGACCCACTACCACACGCGCCGCCTCTGCGCCCTTGGAAACAACAGGCAGAGCTCCAATCACAGCCACAGAAGCGTCCACCCGTGTCACAGCCTCGTCTATACCAAGAACCTCGTTCCGATACTGCCCTGTACTCTCCATCTCCCCTGAACGTTTCCCCGCCACTTCGATATTCACAGCAGCTTCACCAACCTTGTACTTTCCCTTTGCACCGTGTTTCCGCTCCAAGGCAGCGATTGTTGCCGCTGCAGCCGCAGTGGCACTGCTGGGTGTGCAGCTATCCCCCTCCACCACCCCATCACTCCCCTTCCTTTGAGAATCGGGCACATGGTGGTCCTCTTCCGAGTCAGTATCGCTCGCGTCAATGTCATCATGCTGCTGGTCCAAGCCTCGCAGACATTTCTCCTCCTTTGCGCTCCCCTTCTCTGCCTCTCGGAACGCACTCACAGCAGCAGGTACATCAGCAGCGCCGTCGCCCTGCTTTGCCAGATCATCTCTCCTCCTCGCTCCTTCCAACATGCCCACCGCCCTCTCGCCACCACTCTTCTCCTCAGCCGCCTCGGGCACAGAAATTCCAGAGGGCGCTCCAAATGGCAAAACAGACGCCGAAACGCCTCTACCATTTGGCAATCCGACCTTGGTCGGTTCTTTGCTGCCAAGCCCTTGTCTCGTGTCGACACATCCCTCTTCCTCCTTCTTTTCCTGCTCCCTCCCCTCCTCCCCCCCATCCTCCTCCTCCTCCGCCTCCTCCACCGCCTTATCCTCGGCAACTGTAAGGATCCGCCGTACTTTCGGCCTCCCTCCACTCGTCACCCTCTTTCTCGTCCCAGCAGAATTATCAACCAGTATCAGGGAAACGCTTTTTGACTTGTTCTCCCCGTCGCCTTCGGACCGTTCTCCCCTTCCGAGCTCCTCACCCTGAGTACCTGCGCGTTTCCCGCCGCCTTCACCGCAGTTCTCGCCGCCATCTTTCGCGCCTCCAGGATGCCCCTCCTCACGAAGAGATCCGAGCTCGCGCTTGATGCAGGGGTACAGCGAGCGGCAAAAGAGCTGCTGCACGCGATCGCTGGCCTCTCGCGCCGCTTCCATCGCGCTGATCAGCTCCGAGATCTGACGGTCCAGCTCCGGGGAAAGACTCTGGCGGCCCGGAAAGTCAGGGAAGGGTACAGTGGAATCCAGATATTCTGGTGGCTGGTGTGATGCGACCGTGGGATAAGCCATCGTGGGTAAATTGATTGGTCGGGAGAGGCGACCGGCGAAGAGGCGACGGGACGGTAATAGGTAAGGCACGAAAAGAACACCCAACAGTGGGAGGGGTCAAGGTGACGCTGGTAGTTGCGACACGCAGCGCAAAGCAGGGAAGGTGCTAACAATGGGCTTGGCCGTGGGTGACTGAGGGTGACTGAGAGTGACCGAGTTACTCTAACGACTGAGAAGGCACACTTATCTGCCTCAGGGTGGCCTCGAAAATGGATTTTGCATCCAAGGACAACCCCTCAGGATCCCGAGAATCCCGACTAGGTAGGACTCGGTTCTGTACGTTGAAATGGGGTGCCAGTGGGAGGGGGATGGGTAGGGAAGGTGCGGGAGGGAGAGTCTGTTTCGGCGGGGCTGTTTTGGGATTGTCGTCGCCGCTTTCGAGGTGGCGTCACCTTCACGACGACTTGATTCTCCCAGGAAGAAGCCCATGACATCTTTGTACGCCGATGACGTGGCATCGCGGACAACTTTTGGGGTTTGGCGGGCTTTTTGAAAACTTGAAGCTCAAGTTTGGCACCCGTTTTAGAAAACCTCGGTCCTTTTGAAAACTTGTAAATTTCAGTCAGGTGTATTGAAACAGTGTTTTGCGTTACTTCATGGATGTGAAGGAAAAACGAGGTTCCCTTTAGAGGAATATTTTTGTAACACACACACCTCCGTTTCGTCGTTCTATGAACAGTGTCTTTTTACAAAAGGCGGCGGTGCGAATTTCTGTGTTTTGTCCATATCGTGCCGATAGAGATTTTCCTGCAGATACGGACATCAAAACATATCGGCACTGTTTGCAGATTCGGGATGACTTGTCACCCGCGTGCCGAAGATGATGTGCCAGCTCTAGCGGCGTCGGCTGTCTCATCTGCGGAGCTTCGACACTGTACTCGTCTCGTGGGCTTTCGTCGACAAAGGCCTCTCGTGAATGACATCAGGCCACGTGTGTTCTCTCTGTAGAAACTAGGCCAGGCCAGCTGCCTGGCTGACAGTGCAAGATACTGTAACCGGACTGTGTGCATTTGGTTGAATCGAGCGAACGTTGACAGAAGTGTACACCTTTTTGGCTGATGCGCAGCGTCTTACCTCGAAACACCACCTTTTGTCAGAACACAGCAGCTGCTGCATGCTGCCAACGGTGACGTACGGTCCCTATGATTCTAGGGTGCGCAAGCACCTTGTTGTGGGATGTAATGTTTTTTCAAGCATCATAGTGGAGCATCGCTTGGCGAATAAACACCGACCTGGACGTTTGCCTCGCGCAAGGCGCCTCTTGGATTGCATTGCAAGCGGAAGATCAGAAGCAAATCGTCGATGTTGAAAATGGCGGCGCTCCATTTGGACCTCAGCCACCTCAAATGAATACCCAAGGTCGCAATTTTTATTTTCCTTCCCCAAGAAGGAATGCCGATGTTCCAATTATCAATGCTATCTACAGCGTCTCGAGAAGGCCGCCTCTGAGTAACCTTCACAAGTTTACAACCCTACAGTGGGTACAAGTCCCCAGACGCAGAAACCATTAGAATCCAATCCTCCATTTAGGCTTCCTTCACCGCCCGCGGCAGTGACGTGCCTGGGCACTCCCATCCATGTTGTCAGAACTAAGTTCCATAGGAGGCATCATACGTCGTACCACATGGTTTGTCCCTCGCAATTCCGAAAGGGTAGGGTACTTGGGGTCAGTGGCAAAACTAGTTCCTGCTCGGAGGCCGGGATGGAATGGAAGATTGCGGTGGTTGAAGACACGGCGACGGCTCGTCGCCCATCGGATGGGCGTGCCAGCGATGGCTGAGGGAATAAGTCAAGGCATCAAGAAGACTGTAGGATGTAAGATAGTGTGGTAGCCGTCGGTTAGCGACAGGGTGGCGTGGAACTGTACACGTAATCGATCGACTAAAGTACCACACGCATCGCATGATGCCGATCGTTTCAGGCGATCGGGTTATCAAGATCAGGTCCGTCCCCGGCTTCCCGACCCACACACACGATACCTGATGTTTGGGGGCTCGCACGCACGAGGGGAGTCGTTTTCACGTTTCTGCGAGTTGCTCCTTGCAGTAGCCGCGCCAGCCTTGATGTCGCCGAGTGCTAGCCTTTCCTCTCCAACGGACGCTTCGCTAATCGACGTTCCTCGAGGGTACATTATCCTCCGTTCAGATTATCATCCGCGGATTATCTGTAGTCATTCCGGGCCGTACGTCTCTGCAAGTAGCGTAGTCGTCTTATCATTACTGATACTACTGCGAGGGTCCTCGATGAAGCAAGCGGACGATCAATTCGCAAAGAGCGATCAAGCTAATCACCTAGTAGGGGGTTCCGACGGCAAAACTCGCGTCGAAGAGTTGTCCTCTCATGAAAACCTTCCCCTAGGACCTTCCCAAGGCCCGATACCGAGATCTCAATCAGTTCCTATCGCGGTCGGCGATATATCCGTTGGACGCGACCAGATACCACTACCGTCTGGCTCATCCTTCCCACCGTCCATGTCCTTAACTGCTCTTGTAAATACCCCTAGCGGCACGTCCTTTCTCCTCCCCTCGCTTCCGCTCCCGTCTCGCGAAACTAACACAGCTTGTCAAAATCCCGAACCATTGCATCGCGGATTCGTCGAGAGAGGGTATTCCGCAGACGGTAGTACGTGGATAGATCCGTCCGCGAATCTTGACGATGTCGTGGCGCTACGATCTGCAACGTTAGTAGGCCAGCATGATCGCCACCCATCGGCGCACAATCAGCAATCCACCAGCGAGCCCACTCTCTCCGTCTCTGCCGGCCGATCTCACCCCGAAGCCGCTTCGCTTGCCCGGACACGGTCCAGCGCCGCAGCCGCCCTTCCCGTCGGCGGTGCCGCCACTGGACGGAGCGCGGCAGCCTCGGCCAAAGGGAAGCGACCCCTTGGGGTTGTCCGGACACTAGGGGTGCGACATTCGGACTCTAGTATGATGGAGGTTGAACGGGTGGCTGAACTTCATGAATCGGCGGGAAGGGACTGGCTTTTAGGCTCCGGCGGAAGCTTCGGCGATAGTGTGGGAGGGGATTGGATGGGAACGGGCTCTTTGCTAGAGCGCAGCAACAGCATGATGCTCCATGGTAGCGCTATTGATATCTCCGCGATCGGCGCTGGTGGATCTGCGATGCCGCCCCCCCAGCTCCCCACAGCCGCCGCTCGGGCCGTCGCAAACGCGGCGGCGCGAACAGCGAGCCCGGGCGAGGACAGAGCAAGCCTTGATCAGCAACATTTTTTCGGGCAGCTTGATCCTGAAGGCTTTGCTGACGGCGGCGTCGACACGACTGGGTCGTGGAGCAACAGTAGCAGCGGCGGGCAGAGCATGAGCGGCAGTCCCAGCCGAGACGCCGGTGGGGGCAACACAGGCGGCGCAAGCGGCAGCGGCGCGGGACTTGTCAGCACGTCGCCCGTTGTAATTGACAAGGAGCTAGCGGCTGGCGACTCACGCGCAGCTGGCGGCGTGTCTGCGTTCCCCGCTGGAGCGAGCGCGGGAGCGGAATCAGCAGCAGCAGCCGCAGCAACAGCTGGAGGAGGATCATCAGCGGCAGCGTCAGTCGCGGGGATTCACAATAACAGCCCGTCAACGACAGCGCCGCGTCGGCGCATACGAAAAGGGGCCAAGGGCATGATCAAGGGGGTGAAAGGCGGCCCGGAGAACAGCAGCCACTCGTTCCGCGGGGTGCGGCAGCGCACGTGGGGGAAGTGGGTGGCGGAGATACGGGAGCCGCGCAGCCGGAAGCGGGTGTGGCTGGGCTCTTTTGAAACGGCCAGGGAGGCAGCGCTAGCATACGACCGCGCCGCGAGAGTATTTCACGGGTCGCGAGCAAGGTACAACCTGCTACTTGACCCCGACGGCGGTGGCGGCGGCGGCGGTGGCGGCGGTGGTGGCGGTGGTGGCGGTGGTGGCGGCGGGGCCACAGGCAGTAGCACTGCGTCGCAAGAGCAAATTCGACTCAGCGCTTTTGGCGGCGGCGGACCGAGCGCCGTCGGCGGCGGCGCCGCTGGAGGTGTCGACGCCACGTCGCTTGGGAGATCCGCGACGGAATCCCGCGGGATGGGAGCGCGTTTCGCCAGTGACAGCACCGCCCGGCTTGGTGCTTCAGCTGGTTCGACCGCTGGCGGAGCAGCGGCGGGTGCGGCGTCGTCCTTCCGCCTTCCCTGCGGGAGCTCAAGCGCGGGGCTGGAAGTCGCAAGCGCGAGCGCGCTTGACGCGTGGGAGAGTCTGCGCGTCTTGTCGACCGTCGGATCCGGCGGATCTGGCGGATCGGCTTCAGGGTCGATGATGACGGGCGGGGATTATGCGGCGGTTATGGCTGCTGCGTCGGGTAACGGTAACTTGGCGGGAGTGATTGGCCTCCTGCGGGCGATCGCCAGTAGCAGCACTACTAGCGCAAGTGGCGGAATGCTCTTAACTGATCATTCAGCTGGTGGTGCAACCGGTGCTGGTGTAGCTGGCGCTCCTAACGCCGGCGATGCGGTGATGGCGGAGAATTGGCACGCATCAGCGCTGCACAACGCGCAGGCGGAAAACGAAAGGATTGCACCAGGCGGGGGATTTGTTGGGGGCGACAGGATGGGGGGCGCGTTAGGCGCTGGGATGGGGGAGGGTTTTGGGGGAATGATGGATGGCAGTGGGGGGTCGGATATGGATGGGGTGATTCATTTGCTCGAACAGCATCATCGACAGCACCGCCGTCACGCACAAGCACATGGTGAAGGGCAGGCGCATGGGAATGAGCACGTGCATGGATATACACATGCGCAGAGGCATCGACCCGGTGTAGAGACTCTAACAGGCATGAAGTCGCTCCCTAGTGCTATCTCAGCCTCTTCTGCGACCTCCCCGCAAGTCTCCCATACCCATTGGCGCCCTCCTTTTCCTGCCCTTCTACCTGCCGCCACCGCCGCTGCTGCCGCCGCTGCTGCCGCTGCTGCTTCTGCTGCTACTCCCCCTCCTGCTCCTCCTGCTGCGTCCCAGTTTCATGCAGCTGCTCCTGCGCCTGCTCCTGGTGCTGCAGGTGGCAATGCCGCTGGTGCTGGAGATGGGAGAGGAGGGGAGATGTCATCAGCAGTGCAGAATCACGCCCTGCAGCAGCTGCTGCAGTCAGCCATGGGTGTGCCACCGTCCCTGCCTCCTGCTGTGGCAGCAGCCGTGTCCGCAGCAGCGGCAGCAGCAGCCGTAACGGCTGGAGGCTCACACCTGTCTCAGAGTAACAACCAACTGCTCACCTCTCAGAAGGGGCTACAGGCAGAGAACTTGGCTGGCACGTCCTTAAACCCAGAGATAAACCCCCGAGGCTTGTTCTCCTCCTCGCCGTCCCTGTCCTCTCGCCTGCTCCAGACCCTGCATGCATCAGCGCTTCTGCAGCAGGTGCAGCAACAAAACAGCAGTGCTCCGCATCATCTCTCATCGTTCCTCACGCCGCACGCCAACCCTTCTCTCCACTCGAGCTTTCCCATGACAGAGCAACAGCAGCAGCAGCAGCAGCTTTTGCTGCTGCCATTGATCACGCAACAGCTGGCCAACATGAATCGTTTGGGAGAGCATGACAGCAGCGGCTTGGCTCAACTGTCAAGCCTATCTGCACCCTCTGCTCCTGCTGCTCTTGGCTCAGCCGCTGCTGCCTCTCAACCTGTTGTTGGCGCTCAACTCTCCTCTGAGCCCAGGGGTCTCCATGGCCTGGCACACGCTGTGGCTCATGACGGGAATCTTGACCTTGAGCATGCCTTGTTCGACCGCGGACTTGGAAATTCTGGTTCTGGTGTTGGTGCCGCTTTTGGTGGTTCTGCATTTGGCGCTATTGATGGTGGTGGTCCTGCTGCTGCTGCTGCGCCTAGCAGCAGTGGAAGGGATATCCAAGCAGCCCTTTTTGCAGCAGGAGAGGGTGCATACGGTCAGGGTGGGAGACTGCCGGGAGCAACAGCTTTTATGGACGAAGCAACAGGTAGATACGTGCGAGATCATGTTGTACAATTGCACAATGTTTACACTCCCTGTACTTACCCTTGCCCCACTCCCTGCAGTTTCCGCCTCCTTCGTCTCACCTCCAATTCATCCCTTATTTCCCTTCCCACTGGCCAATCCCCACAGGTGCAGTGAACCTCCGGCCAGGAGACCTCTCGGCACACGATGCGGCAATGCTGCAGGCACTATACGAGCCGGCTTCCCTTATGACCGACCCTAACCCCACGGCCTTCCTCCGAACCAGCCCCGCACTGCCGTCGGTCGATTGGAACATCGCTGCTGCGCTGCTGCAGGCTGCTGCTGTTCCGCCACACCCACACTCGCTGCAACAGCAGGAGCGCTTACCAGGTATGCCGAGGGCTTAGGGTTTAGGGAGACCTGTGTACTGTGGTGTAGGCGAGAGACATGGCTGCCCAGGGCTATCGTTCTTGGCTTCCGTACTGTTTGACAGTTTCTGTGTGTGGTTTTCCGGGTCGAGCTTATGAATTTCCGGCACTTACCTCTTCCGTTTTGATCTGGCGGCTACAGGTGCTCTGGGCGCTGGAGGGCAGATCTCATCCGCTGCTGGAGCAGAGGCGAGTGCACTGAGGAACCATCCCTCTACAGTTCCGTCCTCTCTCTGGGCTGCTGCCCGTGGCCTTGTCACTTCAGATAGAGCCTCAGCTGGGTCCGATATGGCACATGCAGCATCCATGGCTAATACCCATCTGCCTCTGCATGGATCAACATCTGCCATGCTAGCTCCAGCTGCCCCAGCGTTTGACACTTTACAGACAATGAACACTCTGCCTGCTGCTGCCTCTCAGGCTGGCTTCATGGGTTCTCTTCCCACTCCCGACCACATTGCAGCTCCAGCCCAAGTTTTATCTAGAAGTTTTGCTGCTCCTGGTTCTAGCAATTCGGGGGTACATTTGGATGTGCCGCATGCTTCCTCGGGCTATGCAGCCAGGGGGGAGCTTATGGAGCAAGGCGACGAAGGGTTTGATATCTGGCCGCTTACTAAGCCATCCAGGCCGAGCAACGAGGAATTGGCTGCCCATGCAGACGATGCCCTCAGGAATCTGGCCTGCAGCAATGAGGAGGATGATCCTAACATGGCTTTCCAACCATGATTTCGACACGAAATTCAATGTTTCACCTGTGAGATTTTTTAACTCAACCACTATTAGATGCACTTAAGACCCATTCTTTTCTTGGCATTAGGTATTACTTCCATTTATTGTAATGCAAGGCCACTTTTTGTTGTGAAGATGGTTATGAGGTAGAAGACACGAACATTATTATCACTGTACCGTACCAGGCATGGCAGCAATCAACACCAAGGTCAGCGCAGCACTAAATCCGGTCGTATTACCGTATAACCATTTGTCTCAACAGTTGTGCTCCATCCCATGGACTACCATCCGTCATCGCTGCCTCATCGCTAATGGCGCTCCTTGCGCATCTCCGCGTGGCGTCTCGAAGAGTCGTTTCACGCGAGCCTACCGTCTTGATCCGAACCTGGCTTTCCGGGAAACCCGTTCCGTCTCCTGCTTCCTCTCCTCCGCTCTTCCGCTCGCCGACCAGCCCCTCCCAGTTGCTAAGCACAGCGGCGAAATCAGAGGTGTGTGCTTAGGGTAACAACCAGCGGCGAAACCTAGGGTAACTCTAGCTCCACGGACCTCCTTCTTGGTGATCACGGTAACGAGATGTGCTGTACGTCTTGGGTATGACGCATCTGGTTCCGTCTCCTCCGTCTCCTCCGTCACCTCCGTCATCTCCGTCGCGTCCGCCCCGTTTGTGACACCTGATGCGTCCGCTGCATCTTCCCGTGTGCAACATACCGTGCCAATGGTGTCTAGGGATCTCAACTCCTGTCCGCTGCGTTTGTCCGTCGTGTCGTTCCGTCTTAGTCAGTCCCTGTGTCTCTCACCGACGATGTTCAGTTGCCAGATATGAATGATCTGGACGAATGTTTTCTGCTATAGTCTTTGGGTGATTCTTTTGCTTCTGAACAAATACATGGGTTCTTCGTGGTCCTCTTGCTCAGAGCTGTTTGGCATGTGATACGCTTCTACCATTCCTCTTTTTCCCTTTCCGTGACTCCCTGCTTCTCCCTCCCTTCACTCCTGAATCTCCCACCCTTCACTCCCTGCTGCTTCCATCCTTAACTCCTCTCTCTGGTCGGCTGGGCAGGGCACATCAGCAGCGCAGGAGGCAGCAGGGAGCGCAGAGGCGAGTGGTGGGTCGCAAGGAGGGACTCCTATTGCTCCCGCATCTGCTAGGGTTGAAACAGGGGGTGCGACCCACGCACAAGAAGCACTAGCGGCCGAAGCATCAACAGCACCAGCTGCAGCAACAGCAACTGAAGCAGCAGCAGCAGCACCAGCTGCAGCAACAGTGACAGAAGCTGCAGCAACAGTCACGGAGGCAGCAGCAGCAGCAGAATCAACTGTACCGGCAACAGCAAGAGCAGCAGCAGAGGCTCCGTCTTCTGACCCTGCAGCTGCTCTTGCTTTCTTCGCTGGTGCTGCAGTGGTTGGTGTGACAGCCTGGGATGTGTATTGGGCTTCAATGCCCAAAAAAAAGTCCAAGGATGAGGACGATGATGAGGAAGATGAAGAGGACTGATGCTTGGAAGGCTTATGCTTGTCTCCATTCTGTGTAGGCGTTACGATTCGGTCCACTCCACGTCATATTCGATGCCATAATCCGCTCTAGGTACTGACCAGGATTTCAGGATAGCAGGTGATTGTTCTGGGGGGGAGATTGTTACGGTAGGGGTATGGAAAGATGTACAAAAGCAGCAGGCTCCATGCAAAAATGCTGCCTAGACTGGTGTTAGGTGCTAGGTCAGAGAGTCAGTGGAAAAAAAAGGTACTGGTAGGAAATGAGGCCAGCACTTCTGCACTCTTACAGCACACATTCATCTGCATTGGCTATGCATTACAATTACAAGCATACACGCACCATACATCTGAATGCAAACTCAAAAACACCACAGCCGTCACTTGCTCGCAGGTACTTCATATTCTAGGAAGTCGGTAGTGCAAGGTGTTAACGATGGTAGTGGAGATGTTGCTGCCGTTGCTGTTGCTAATGTTGCTGTTGTTGTTGATGTTGTTGCTGATGTAGTTGTTGGTAGTGGTCATGGTGCCGCTGTGAGCTTTCCAGCTCTGATTCCACCACACACCCTCCTGCATCCTCACTTTCCTCCGCGACCGCAATCCGATTAGACATGCACCTCCTCTTCGCCCCTCCCATGCCTCCCATGCCTCGCATGCCCCCCACTGATGTCACTCCTGCCACAGGCCCATGCGCGGCGATTAATGTCATGCCTGCTCCTGTGCTCATGGCACCAGCAGTCATGTCCTGTACTGACACGGGCACAGATGGAGCAGGTGCGGGTTCAGGGAAAGTTGTGGGGCCTAAGGCAAGCAGAGCTCCCATGCTGTGAAGGTAACTCTGCTCAACCGTCTCTTTGTGCATCTGCCGCACCTGCTGCACCTGAAATCCAAACTCCACTTGCTCTTGTGTCTGGGCCTGTGCCTGTGCTTGTGCTTGTACTTGTACTTGTGTTTCTGACTGCCTCTCCGCCTGCACTTCTGTCTGGTTTTGAACCTGAGTTTGCACCTCTGCTGCTGCTAGCTCCTGCTTTTCTTGCATCCTGGCCCTCTCAATAATCTGCAGAAACGGACACACAGAGTAGGGAGGAAAGGGAAAAGAGAAGCATCGCATGAGAGGCCATGCCCAGGTTACAAGATTACTTAGTACAATTATACCACACATAAAACATCGCAATAGCATCCCATTACCTAACCTTCCCACTCCCTCTCGCCCACTATTCCCCGCCCATTTCCCAGACCCTGCTCTCTCCACACACACACACACGCACCCTGGGACCACGGTAGTGTCCCCGGCGCACGGAAAAGCTGCTGCCAGGCTGGCACTCCTGCAGCCACCCGTATTCCCGCCCCTCCTTCAGCCCCTCCCCGGGTGGCAGCGCCGGGAACTGCTCGGCCGGCAGCTCTCGGAAGTATGTGCAGTGGCGGCCGGCCTCGACGCTGTAGGGCGGCGAGAGGACGTCTAGGAGAGCGCAGGGGGCGAGTGCAGTGAAAGCGTGCATGTTGCCGCCGCTGGTGGGGAATAGCATTTCCACTGGGCATGGCGCTGCTATCACCTGGTCTTCCACTAGCTCCGCCAGGCGCGCTGGCGGTGGGAAATGGGGAGGGGGAGGGGAGGGGGAGGGGGGGGTGGGGGTTGCGAGGGGGAGAAGGGGAGACGAGGAGAAGCGGGGAATGGGAGGGAGGGAGGAAACGGAGGCACAGGGTTGGATAGGGTTGGAGAATGGCAAAATGGCCAATTTCGGCTGTGGAATGAACAGTTGAAGCTTAAACACGATGAGACGGAGACAACTGGATTAGCAGTACATTGTAAGAGCTTTCAAAAAAAACGCAGCAGCAGCAGCAGGAGCAGCAGTGGTCTTACGTTGCGTGGCAGCAGCAGCGGGAGACGCGGAGGGGAAGGCCCAGTCGAAGGAGCGCATGTGCATGCGGCCGTAGAGCAGCTTGGAGAGCACCGTCATGCCCGGGTGGTTGTGCAGCGGGATGCACGCCGACGCGGGGATGCAGAAAATTCCTATCTGCGCACACACGTGGACGGGGGATGCACGAGGAGCATGCAGCACACACGGATAAGACGGAGGTGAGGAGAGGAGGTGAGGGAGATGAGGGAGACGACGGGGCGGAGAGGACGGTCCTAGCAGTAAGAGAGTGGGTAATTCCTTCGTAGGAGAGAAACACAGAGGACGGTGAGGTGATTCGCCATGCATGAGCGAGTGGGGCGCTGACGACTCGTACCGAGAAGTCCGCGCATTCGTAGAGATGCAAGTACGTAATGGGAGGCGCGATTCGACGCTGCACAGGAGCAGGAACAGCAGGAGCCGCCGCCGCCGCCGCCGCCGCCGCCGCCGCCGCCGCCGCTGCTTTTGCGGCAGCAGCTCCCGCTGACATGGATAGCGACGTCAGAGCCGCCTCCCTCTCGCTCCCCGCGCTTGCGCCGCCGGAGCCGGCGCCGCTGGCGGAGTCCGCACCGGAAGCGGCACTACCGCGCGCGCCCGCACTCCCCGAGTCCGCGCTCGACTGGTCGCAGTGGTGAAGCCCCGGCAGGTCCGGAGTCGCGTCGCGCATGCACCGATTAATCGACGTGGTTATTGACGTCGTTCCGCTGGATCCGCCGCTGAACTCGCCGCTGGATGCGCAGCGCAGTTCGGCGGCGGTGGCGCCGTAAGGGCCATAGGCGCCGGCGGCGCGAGGCGGTGCGGGGGAGTGAGAGGCGCGGTGCGGGATTGGCCGGTGGAGAGCGGAGGAGTCGGATGGCGTGGCGACGTCGAGTGCCACGTCGGCTGGGTTGATGCATTCTGATTGGTTGGAGAGGGAGAAGGAGCGGAGAGGGGTGGGGAGACATGGGGGCAAGAAACTCAAAAGCTGTTAATAATATCTCCGACATCCGACGCACTAGCAGCTCACGTCACCACCCGCGCACGATTCGCTCATCACTCGCGCTTTCATCCGAATGTGCCTGACAACCATAGCCACATTACCCTTCAATCGTTCCGACCTCTCCCCTTCCTACCCCTCCCGTTTCCGCCTCTTCCCGTCTTCCCCCCGCGAGCCCGCCACTTCAACCGACCCACTTCTCCCTTCCCCTTCCCCTTTCCCCCTGCCCTCTCTGCATGCTCACCAAGCGCACTGCGCACTCTCATCAGCGCCTGTCGCGTCGGCACCTGCTCGCCAGCAAACGCCGCTTTGCACGCGTCGAACAGACGCTGCACCTTCTGCGCCGGCATCATCGCTACCCCCGCTGCTGCCGCCGCTGCCGCCGCCGCCGCCGCCGCCGCCGGGTCCACCGGCAGGCGCTGCCGACGGGAGGCCCGCGAGGCCGCGGGTCGACCGTAATATCCGGCTGAGAACCCTGTAGTGTTAAACGGAGGGGGACTATTATCACTACTAACAGTACTATACGCAGTGGCTGGGGAAGCGCCGGTGGTTCCGCCACCAGCTGCAGCGGCGGACCACGATTGCGCGGGGGTTCCGCGGAGACGCGCCGTGATCGCGCCGGGGGGGTGGGGCGAGAAGGGGGAGGTTGCGAAGGGCGCCAGCGGGATAGCGACGACTGGCGACAAGGTCGGGGGGGAGGATGAGGTGCGCGGGGCAGCTACGATCGCTCGAATCGACTGGGCGCTCAGGATTTAACGCAAATCAACGGTTTGGCCTATGCGCGCATCGGATTGGGCGATGCGTTGCTGCTCGATTGAACCAACCGAGAGAGAAGTGAGATAGGTGTTTTCAGGGAAGAGGGGGAAAAGGGCGGCGGAGGGACGGACGGGCGGCTCGAGTGCGTGCGAGGCAGGGATGTGTCACGGAAGCCAAGGAGACGGATTGTGGCAGAGGGACGAGTGATTACTGCAGGGATGATTCAAGTTTACACTGCGAAATGTGGTGATTTTGGTGTAATTTGGGCGGTTGAGGTTAGATGAGAGCAAATGTCACGGTCGTAGGGGGCGGCGGCGGCGGTGATAGCGGCTGAAGGTGAGGTTGAGGCCGCCTCGCGACGAGGCTTGAGCGGCCGTTGAATCTCACGGCGGACGGAGGACAACTCTTATCACGAGGGAGGCTCGAGCTGCTGCAATGAAATGCGTAGTAGGCTACTGGGATGACAACTAAGATGACGATTTGCGGACAGAACTGCTGAACGGTGGAGGAGAGAAGGAAGGGAGCCCGACGCGTCTTGTACTAAAACTAGCCAAGGTCACGGAGTCGCATTGAACAACGTTGAGACTAGAGTAAGGATAACAGTTTCACACGAGCAGCTGCGGCAGCTGAGATAGGTGGGCTACAGTGACGATGGGTCGAGAGATGGGAGACATTGGGAACCACGCGACTAGGCCGGGAACAGGAGCAGCAAACTATTGCAACAGAGGAAGGAATTTGGACCAAGAGATCGCGGTGCGAAAGTCGATGTGTTGCGGTGGGGCCAGGTGAGTGAGGAAGAAATGGTCTGGCGGGGGGAAGAGGAGATTCACATCACACCACAAGGAGGTTGAGTACTGTGTTACCGAGCGCCAGCACCAGCAGACCAGGAGGGGGCGGAAGGAGCGGAGCGGGCTGTACAAGTGCACTAGAACGAGCGGTAGTAGAGGCGAGAGACGAATCCGACTTGGGAGTTAAGCATGCCAGCGAGGCAAAGTCTACAGTCATGTGGCTGGTCCGCTGCGTTGCGTGCTCTAGGAATGAAGGGGGAGCTTGGCAATGCAACCGGACCAGAATGCGTTTGGTTCGCGAGTCGAGAGAGAGGGGGAGAGAAAGCAGTTCAGTTCAGTGGCCTTGACGGAAGGAGAAACGGGACAAGTGGGACAGACGCGGGGAGCAGAAGGCGGGCGGGAAAGGGGAGCTTGTTGTGAAAGACAGGTGTGGTGTTGATGGACGCTCGGGTGGTGGTGGTTGGTGGGACGGGAAAGGGATGCTGGGGGTGTGTGGTGGATGGGATGGGATGGGAAGGGTGGAGAAGTGAACTCACTTGTAGAAGAGCAAGAGGAGGATGGAGTGTGAATAGCTGAATGGGAAAAGCTGGATGAAAATGTACTGTATCGCTGGAAGAAGGCATGCGTGGACCATGTTCCTTTCGGGTCCAACGCGAGAAAGCACAGCAGAGAGATAGCGATGCGGTGGGACGTGGGTAGCTAGTTTTCTGGACACCCTTGGCGGTTACTTAGGTTCTTGCCGAAGGGGGGTGGTGGTTCTGATCCTGCGGGGGCTCGTTCCAGGCGTCTGTTTAGAGACACCGCATGCTGGATTCGGTCAACTGGGAGTGCCCCTACCGATGTGGGGTGGTCTGGGAGGAGTAGCTGGTGAGAAACTAAAATTTCTTACTGTACCTAAGTTTTGGACGGGCTCGTCAAGTGCTGCGCTGGACCCTGCTTTAGCTGCCCTCCTCAAGTTTCCGCCGTTAGCCATTCGGGTCTCGACGGGACACAATCATGTCGCATGGCTGGTGAGCCAAGGCCGTGAATGAGCGGTGCGGGAACGATCGGGGCTTTGTGTGCTGCCGCTACAAGGGCAAATGCCCCGAACATGAAAGGATAAGTTCGGACGACCTCCCTAGATTTAGGGCTTGTTTACAGGTAACTCCGCCGCCCTGAGCGCTGATTGGGTGGTATTTTGGTTTCGGGCTTGAGAAGTCTTTCAAGTCTCCCGCTAAGAGGGTTCAGTGATGCCCATTTAGCCAAGCACATACTCTCTTAGCGAAGTGCGTTACAACCCTCATCTTAAGTGTTTAGTTTGGCCAAAACCCGAACCGTATATTTAAGGTCAAATTTCGGGGCACCTCAGCCTTTCAAGTTCCGGGGTGGAGGAAGTGGTCAGGGCAGGACCTGTCGTGAGTCTTGAGTCGTGACTCCTTGGCACACTTGTACTGTATTTGTTGGTGTTTTTGTGCTCCTCTTTCAGTTGGTGTTGGTTGCCCATAAGAGTCCATTTTGAGCGTGTGTCGAGCGTGACAAGACATGCACAGCCTGCCACACATTGGCTTCAGCGGCTCGGTTAGCGCTTGTCCGAACAATAGAATTGTCCAGCGCAGCTGTGTGCTGGTACTGGGAACCAGTTAGAGATCTCTGCCAGAGTGGACAAGAAACATGATTGGCCAACCATGGACCAGCGGGGCAAAGGATAGTGATTTCATCACAACAGCAAATGCGAGTTGTGACCCACGCGCCAAAACAAGTGTCGCGGAAATCGGTGAGAGGGACTTGTCACAGCAGTCTTACAGTACTCACATGAATGTCTTCGGTATCATACAAAACTAATGCATACATAATATGTGTATTATTTTTTCACCAAGAGCACCAGAGAATCATATGGGTTCTCTCGTTGGTGAAATCGATCAACCTTGTTCTCTTACTTCCAATATCCTCAGTGATCCGAGAGAGTTGCGGATATGTTGTATCGATTATCCCCCGTCCTTGCACTGACGGGCTGAGACATCCTCGAGTCGTGGTCGCAACAGTGTACAGTACAATGGAGTGGAAACGACAGTCGCCCTCACGCACCTCCTCTCACATTCACCCACAGATTCACAGTTCTCGAGCTGAGAGAGGAGGCTGTGGTGAATCTGAGAGTTTTTTCACCCAACTCGCCGATGACCTAATTTCTTTTTTTAGAGAGAGAGAGAGAATTCCAACATTTTCCCAGCTCTCGCCCATAGAATCTGCTCCACCCCACGGTTTATTACAATCCACTCTCGCTGCAGGAGCAGTCGCTGCTAATGGTTTTCGCGGTCTCGAGCCTGGCCGCGTCGCGCTTACACAAAATTCATGGCCTCCAATTCATCGCGCCCCCGGCATGGTCACCCGCTGATCATTCTTTCCAGCACCTCTCACCGTCACGCCTGCGTTCGGCTGTTACAGCCAGAAGTTACGTCCCGGAATTGACTCCTCAAGCTTCTTCATCATGGCACTCTCTTTCTCCCCAGCCAACGTCTGTTCATCCTTTTCGACGGAATGTTCGACGTAACGCGATTAAGATTGACCGTAGTCGCCAGCCTAGCAGACCCGAGGGCGAGGTGACAAGCGAAGCGGATTTGGACACGTGTCCGGCGGAGTGCGTTCGCGAGATCAAGTCGCAGAAGGAGCTTGACGTAATTCTAGAGCACGCGGACCGGAATAACATCTTAGTGGTGGTGGACTTTTTCCGCACCGCATGCGGGAGCTGCAAGTACATCGAGCAAGGGTTTGCGAAGCTTTGTCGCGCCGAAGGCGAACTGGGGGATCCCGTTATCTTTCTCAAGCATAACGTACGCACCATTTGTAGCTTTTGAGACGTTATCTTTCGAAGATATGCTACGCACCAATTGTAAATTGTGCGTTACCGTCACATAACCAGCGTCTGCTTTTGCTGTATGTTGACACAGCCGAAAATCGAGGGGGAAGCGGGAAAGGGAGGGGGGGAGGAAAGGTGGGGAGAGGGGGGGAGAGGGGGGGAGGAGCGGGGAGGGGGGGGGGGTTGGTTGGGACGGTAGGAAGGAGATGAAGGAAGGGGTGGTGTGCAATAAAAAATACTCGTTTTGCTTTGTTCCTCACGAAAATCCTCGATAACTCCAGTTCCCCCTTTTCCCCCTCTCGCTACCTTCCCTTTTCCCGACCCCTCTCTCCTTCTGTCATTGCCCTCTTGACTTGTTCTTGCACCGTTTGGGTTTCTCATGGCTGGCTGCCACGTGGCACCGGTGCAGGTTATGGATGATTATGATGAGCAATCCGACATAGCTGAAGCACTGCGGATTAAGGTGAGACGGGACGGGATGCCTGTTCTACAGCCAGCGAATATGAAGGAAGAAAGCAGGAGGCTTGGTTATTTACCACAGTTGCTCCTTATTGGGATGCCTGACATTCTTTCCTTTCCCTGTGTATGTCTCTGCTTGGGTGGGATACTCAAACTCGTCATTACAGTTCATATTCCTGCGTAACCTTCCGTTCCCCGATCACTCCGTTCTTTGATACAATCACTGTTACCGACTCTGTGAATCCTCTTTCCCCTCGTCTCCACTTCACCCCTCTCTTGTGCCCTTCCCTCCCCAGCCTTTCCCACTCCCCTCGTCAGCCGCTTTACCCACACTTGTAGCCGTCCTTCCTTTCCTCGCGTTCTCACCCGTTCTGTCACACCCTTTCTGCCCCTGTCCTGTCCGGACCTCCCAATCCCAATACGACACCGTGCGCGTTCAGGTGGTCCCTCTCTTTCACTTCTACATGCACAAAACCCTCGTGGAATCCTTTCCCACGCGCGAGAAGGCCCGCATTCTCGAAACCATTCAGAAGTATGTGCCAAACTTCCAGTCAGATGACGAATTTCTTGACGATGAGTATTTTCCGAGTGATGAGGAGTGAAGAGGAGGAGTGGGCATGAATGCTTGGATGATTGCAAATGATTGCTGTGGGCGATCGGAGCAGATGATTGATGGGGAGAAACGATTGGTGAGCTTTTGTGGTCTGTCTGGTCTGCTAGTTGGTGTGATGGCGACTTTCTTTCTGTTGCCGCTTTGTTGCATATTGGGTCTCGGTGTGTTCTTACAGCCGATTGGGAGGATATAATCTTTTCGCTGAGTGTGCCTTTAGGTTCCGGCATGCACAACGCTGGTTTGGCATCCGTCATTTCTTTTCCTTCTGTTCGATTTTGTGCGAACATTGGCTACGACCCACGATCCACATGTGGATCTTGTCTGCAAAGTTTTTGAATTCTATGGTTTTGAATCTGGCCTGTGTCGGCGTGATATAATATGTATTACTGTGTTCCATTATATTGCACATACGGTATCCCATGTCAAGCTTGTGTCTTGACGGCTTTGCCAGGTTCATAAGGCACTGTTCCATGACGTTCAGTTGTGTCGACCCATGTGCTGTTATGTCAACGCAGGTGATGTGATGTCAATGCAGGTATCATACGGTAGCACGAATCTTGTTGCAGTCACAGCAGCGACAGCACCATCCATCAGCACTGCAAAGCATTCCATGATTATTAAATTTATTGGATAACAAAAACTGTGAGGGTAATGGGGCAGTACCCTCGAAGACCCCTATGGTGCTCACTAAATAGCCGTAACAGATTGCAGCTACTGCTCGTCATTGATCCTTCGGTGTGCCCTTTATTGGCATGACATGCCATGGGGCAGGCATGCTGCGGGTGGCACAACCAAGGTACTAGTACCACGACCTACAGATCAGCAGAAGCTGAGCTGTGGGTGGACGCACTATTGCTCTGCTCCACGCCAAACCTGCAGGCAAGTACCCACTTATTATGCTGTGCATCCTCCCAAGCTGCTATGGAAAGCAGACCCAGCAGCAAGGCACGCAGAACCTAATTCGGGAATGACTTGTTCCGCCGTCCATGCCATACTCACCAACCGCCTAGTCTCTCTCACTCAGCATCCATCAACAGAGTCTCCCCAGAAGAGAACGCCTCGCCTCTTAATTTCATGCCATACCCACCGCCGCCCACTACCCCGACACCTGGGTGCAAGAACCCCCCTGTGAGCTCCAGCGCCCGTGCCATCTCCTCGTCCACGAGCTGTGCGCGGGCAAAGCGGCAGAAGCGGCAGTCAGCCTTGCTGAGAGCTGACACCTGGTAGTCCTTGACCGTGCCGTCGATAAAGCCCTCCGCGTTGTCTCCCGGCACCACGTCCTCGTGTAACAGATCGCTGTGCACTAGCTTCTGCTGGGCTCTGATATGGGGGGGTGCCGGAAGCAGGGGGTGAAAAGGGGGTGGGGTGTGGGGGGGAAGGAGAGGGAGGAGCAGGGGGCAGAAGGGAGGAGAAGCGAGGGGAGGAGACGGGAATGGAGGAGAAGGGAGGCAGAATGAGGAATGATGTAGAGGGCGCTTCTGCCCTGTGTTTCTTCTACAGCTGTGGGGAAGGAAAGCAAGGGATGCGGGATCCATGATCATGTAGGGGTGGCACACGTTTGTAAAGGCGACATTGCAGCCAAGCAAACCAGGCATTATAAAGTGACCTAGGCTTTGTCAATTGCAAAATGCCACCACAGGCTGGCGCCCGTTACTATGTTCATGAAAGCGCGTGCCAGAAAGAGTGCTCACAGCCGTCCGATGAAGTCAGGTCGGAACGTCTGACCCAGCACTCCGTGCACGGACGGTGAAAGACTCGCCCAATCCACGCCGATCGACATGTGCACTGTCCCATCCGTCGCCGTGCGCATCGCCGCGATTTCTGGTCGCAGCGTGACGCGAAGGGTTACCACATTCGCCACTCTCAGTTCGTAGACGTCGATCAGGTCGTTCCCGTCTCGCTTCCCCCCCACAACCCACGCTAGCTCGGCTCCCGGCCATAGCTGAGCACTAGTTCCAGGGGTATCTATCTCCCTAACTCCGCCATCAACCACCATACGAGCTAAGTAGCCGTTGCCGTATTCCGCGGAGGCGCCGCGGCGCGCGTCTAAGATGAGGAGGTGGTGGCCGGTCATGACGGCGAGAGATCTAATCCACGTCAGCGCCTTCGCGTGATTGGCCCAGACGCCGTAGCGCCCGCCGAAGAACGCGTTGACGTGGACGTGCGCATCGGATATCAACGCGTAGTTGCGATTTGGCCGGCCTGAAGGTGCGACGGGTGGGAGAAGGGAGGGAAGCGTGAACTTCACCAGGGTGAGTTTTATATTGACGAGAACCCGTTAGAAATAGTAGACGCTCCAGTAAAATCACAAATGTTGAGTTCTATGTAGTAGCAGTAGCAGTACCGCTGAAGTCAAAATGCGAGCCGTCGGCGCCGGTGAAATGCGGGTCGCCCTTTTCGTTGGCGGTGCAGAGCGATCCGACGGTCCAGTTGGAAGCCGGCTCGACGCGGTCCGTGCCCAGACCCTCTGCAGGCTCCATCCAAGCGGGGCTGAAGCTCCACTCGTCGACACACGCGTCCGCGTTGAAGCACGTGCAGATTCCTGCACACGCGCGCACGTGCCATCCACATGCACGCACGTGCCATCCACACGCGCACACATCACGGGAAATAACGGAGGAAAAGGCTCGGACAACGACAAGCGGTGGAGATGGCGGGTCCTGAGCGAAAGCGATGCACGGTTGTTGTTTAGTATCACCGGGGAAGGGGGAACGAGAGGGATTGCTGCGGCGATGGATTATTGGACACTGTTATAAACATTACGAACCTCCGTTGCCCTCTTCGCACGTTTGTTCGAACATCCAGTATTTCGCCTCCAGCTCAGGGACCTTGTTACGAAGTTGCGCGTTGTACGCAGAGCAGTAGCGGTGACACTCGATCTCGGGATGCGCGAGCGTTTCATCTCCCGTTACATTGAATTCGAGGTAGTTGTACATCTGCGTCGCCGTGAAGAACGCCTCGACCAGGAAGCGTGTGGAGCCCTCCGTTCGGTCTGCTGCCGTGACGTCTACGAACTTGCCTCGCCGAAACGTACCCTCGCCGCACTCGAATTTCGGACAGAGGTCCGCGACGCACGCGGTAAGTGATACTGCGATTGTAAGAAGCGCAAAAAACGTTATTTTGTTCATGGCGCCCGAGGATAATTGGCGGGGACGTAGCAGCGAATTTCTGAACATCTCTGTATTGGCAGTTAAATGAAAGTTCTCAGCCGTAGTAAGACCAGCATTAGCTACAATATGTTATCTGATGCAGTCGGCCTAACGGAACGAATATTGCTCGAGACAGGAAAAGATGGGAAGGTATGAAGTGCAAGGAGGAACGTTGGTAGTAGAGAGAAGCAGTCTTATGAAGAGTAGCTAGACAGGAGATTGAGCAAGGTAATGAACATCCTTGTAGCCAACACTGACCAAATCGAGGAGCATGGCCAATATCACAACCGCGCCGCGGCGGAAACAACGCTGTCAGATGAGCTTGGGATGCGTGCACAATGCTATCGCGTTTCGTACGGCACAGTGCGGTATCGTAGTTTTATAGCACGGTATTGTACGTATTAAGCGCGGTTCTTACACCTCCCCTCCCTCCCCACCGAATCGCCGCAATCTTGTGGGGTGTGGCGGAGCGGAAGCAGCCACCACCAGCGTGTGGTGTGGTGGGCAATAGCGGTCCGTCCCTGATTGAGCCCCCCCCCCCCCGTTCTCTTCCCCACAATCGCACGGGGCCAGTTGGTGCAACTGGGTGGAGATGGGGATGCGACTCCGAAGCGAAATGCAGCCCATAGTCCCCGACGGCCAGGCAGAGGTAGCTACAGTCAAGAAATGGAAAAATACATTCGACGCCCGTATTTTCTCCTACGTCATTTACTTTGCCCATGTCACCACCCAGTACGGGCAAGGACTCCGCCTTCAGTCGCGGATTTTAATCGAACCCGTTGATCACACACATCGAGCGCTGTCAACCGTCCCTTGGTCAGATCTTACATAAGTGTTCCCACCCATTTTTCCCATCGTGAAGGCAATCGAAGCACATCTGCTCGGTTCCGTACGTTATGGATCCAAAATAATAAGTTCCCCAAATGACAATCGTATAATCTACAGAGAAACTGGACTTTTTTTATCAATGAAGAAGTATGCCATATTTGTTTACGGGTATGTATACCACCTGACCACCTACAGCTGGTTAACCCCCAACATATTTTCTTATAAATCACGTTTTTGTCATCAACAAATATTTTGAACTATACTTGCATGTTGATCATCAAAGCAGGTGTTCACATACCATGTAAGGTGAAAATACACTAAGAGTGGTCCAACGTACTTGCATAAATGCACGTAGGAGGGGAAGTATGGCACAACGACAACACCGAAGAATCACAGCTTTTCTTGCTTAGAAGCTCAAAGCTTCAATGTTAGATCCACTACACCAGCAGTTGCCTTCGCACCTCTCGCACCCTCCTCAAAGTCATTCCCCTTGTACTTCTCCTCGCCATCCCCTCGCCCTTTATTCTCCAAAACATTTAGCTCTTCTGCCCTAGCCCACCCACTCCGCAGCCCTCCCCTCCTTAGCATCCAAGAATAAGCTCCTTTATCCACATCTTGCTCACCATGGCTGTTCTGCCCTGATACCTCCATGCTCTGCATTCGGGTTCTGAGAAAGCTCCCTTGCACACCAGCACCACCATGTGGCAAAGTGGTGCCTGCCATTCGTGCACTCGGGCGCTGCAGGCCTTCCATGCCTGCACCACCATACTGCTCTCGGCTTCTTCCTGTAACAGCTCCATCTGGAATCGAGCCAAAAACAGCAGCAGCAGCAGCAGCAGCAGCTGCAGCGGCGGCAGGAAGATCAGCAGTGGCAGCAGCAGTGGCAGTGCGAAGAGGAGCAGCAGCAGAGCTCAAGTGGGCAGTACTGACAACAACATCCGTGATCGCACCACCCCAGGAGCTTCCCCTTCCTCGCCCACTGACTCCTAGTGGAGGCACCAGCCTTGCAGGCGCTACCTTGCGCAGAAAGGCATCCCGTGGAGCTGGAGGAGGAGGAGGAGGTGGAGGAGCAGGAGCAGGTGTATACAGGGATCCACGCAGGCCATTTGCTGCTGTCAAACCTGTTTCACTGCCGCCTGCAACACGGCCTCTAGCACCAGCAGCGGGAGCAACAGCAGCAAAAGCAGCAGCAGCAGCAGCAGCAGCCGCACCAGCATCAGCAGGAGCAGGAGAAGAAGCCAAAGCAGCAGCACCGAGCCAAGCAGGACGGGGTGCAGCAGCTTCAGAATGACTGGCCAGCTGGCTGTTCCAACCCCGTAGCATGCGTCCATCCTCCCACGCACTCTCCCCCACTCCCTCTCCCCACTCACCTCTAACCCCGCCCTCTCCCATCACCCTGGACCTATGGCTCCTATCCACCCACACCTCCCCTCGCCCCTCCTCCCGGGGATTTCTCTGCCGTTCGCCGTTCCCACAGCTCTCGAGTCCCTGAACCACTCCACTCAAGCCCCACCGCTGCAGCGACCGCGGAAAACGCTGCTCGCCCTTGCACGCGTCTGCGGCAGGTGCGTGTGCTAAGCAATCTCCCCCCAGCGGAAAGACCCCCTGAGACTCTCCCACAAGGAAAGCGTTCTGGAGCTCACTCACAGCGGCAGGCGGAGCAGAAGCAGCCGCAGGCGCGGCATGAGCAGCAGCAGCAGCTGCTGGGTTGGTAATGAGGCGGTTCACACGAGGACCATGAGCAGCCATCCACATGCTGTCCCGTGCTGCTGTCACGCCCCCCCACTCCTCCCACCCAGGCAAAGCTACCCATCCCTCATCACCTCCTCGTCGCTCACACCTTTCCTCCGCCCCATCCCTTTCCTTGACACCCCCCTTCGCTTCCTCTAATTCCTCCTCCTCACCCCAACCCTCCCCTCCGGTACCCTCCCCCCTTGGCTCAGCTCTCCCCAGCCATTGTTCCGGCATTGCCCCTGCTGCCTCGACTGCTCTCCCCGCCCCTCCCAACGCATCACCACCAGGGTTGTAGTTGTTGTTCCAGCCGTTAAGGCCAGCAGCAGCAGGAGAGTTGTTGGCAGCAGCAGTCCAGCTGTGCAGCAAAGCCTGTCTGATCAGTGCTGGGTGGATGGGCGGGTCACGGCTGGGAACACGACTCCAGGGAAACACGCCCCTCTCAGCAGCCGCTGCAGCAGCAGCAGCAGAATTAGTAGCGGGAGTAGCACCAGCACCGCCAGCAGCGGAAGGTGCAGCATTGCGAGCATCAGCAACAGCAGCAGGGTTGGAAGGGGACACATGACGATTGTGAGAAGCCAAAGCAGCATTCAGCTCACGCATCTCCCCGCCTTCACCCTCATTCTCCTCCCACTGATTTCGCCTCGCACGCTCCCTCTGTTCACCCTCTCCCCTCCTCTCGTCAACTGCGGCATCATCACCCCTCTCTTTGCGTCTCTCACACGCCTCCCTTCTCTGCAAAACTCCCTTCCTCCCCTTCTCCAGAACCCCCATAAGCCTCTCTTGCTGGCGTTGAAGCGCCGCCATTGCTTCCACTAGACTGGCTCCTCCCCTCCCTGCTCTCTGCCAATCCAAACTCCCCACCTGTCCGTCTCCCATGATCACATTCGCATTCGCATTTGTACTTGCATTCAGATTTGCGTTTATGCTGGCAATGATACTCGGATTTGCCAACAGCCCTGCCCCGCTTGCACCTGCTCCCCATGCCCCTGCTGCCGCCGCTGCTGCTGCTGCTGCTGCCGCTGCCCTGAATATCTCACACCAAGAAGCAGACCGGTTTGGTGGGGTTGAAACAGGCGCAGGCCAGGAGGACGCAAGGGACGGATGTTGCTGGAGAAGAGCAGGGGAGAGGAAATTCAAGGCTGGGTTATGCTGAGGCAGCCTGAACGAACTAGCCGTCGCAGCAGCTGCTGCTGCTACAGCTGCAGCAGCGGTGGCAGACGTACCAAAGAAGGGTGCGACTGTGGTTTGAAATACAGGGTGTGGAAACGCAGGTGCAGCTGCAGGAAGAACAGAAGCAGGGGGAGGAGCAGGCGCATAAGGGGGGAGAAGAGGTAGCGAAGGGGGAGGAGGGGGAGGAGGAGGGGCAGGGTGACCGTTGACAGAGAGAGAGGCAGACACAGAAGCGGCTGCACTGGCTGCTTGTGGGAGGAACGCCAAGGGAAAGGCCTTTGCTTCTGCTGCTGCAGCTTCTGCTGCCGCTGCTGCGATGGCAGCTGCAGCAATAGAGGCAGGAGGGGCTGCATGAGATGAGATGAACGGATTAGGAGCAGCAGCAGCAGCAGCAGCAGCAGCAGCACCACCACCACCATCACCAGCAGAAGCAGTGGCAGCAGCAGTATCAGTAGGTGGAAAGGTTCTGGCAATAGTACGGGCAGTATTAGCAGCAGCAGCAGCAGCAGCAGCAGCAGCAGCACCAGCAGCAGCAGCAGCAGCAGCAGCACCAGAAGTCATATCCCGACCAATACCCCTAACTTTCTCCATCCCTCTACTCCTCTGCATCCACCTCTCAGCGGCTCTCTGCTCATCTCCCTTGACTCTCCCTCCCTCTCCTCTTGCCACCTCATTATCCAAACCTTCCCTTCCCTCTCCATATTCCTTGCCCCCACAAGCCCTCCTGCTCTTAATTCTGTGGCAGTCCGTCCCCACCCCTTCATACCCCTCCGCTGCATACCCATCCCCTCCACTCTCCATCTCCACCCCACTCGCTCTCCTCCTCTTCCCATCCCACTCCCTCCCAGTCCTCCCCTCCCACTCCCAACCCCCCTTCCTCCCCACCTCTCTTTCCCCGCTCCGCTCCTCCCACCTCTCCCTCTCCCCGCCCCTCTCCTCTTCCTGCTGCCTCTCCCTCGCCACCGCTCGCCCCAGCACGGAAGGGCAGCACTCATCCGCCTGCTCTTCCAGCGCCTCAACAGGCATCGCCACGCGTGAACGCATCTGCAGCAACATCCAGTCCAGCGCGGGCACAGCACCTGATGATGGCTTTGCCGCCGCTGCTTCCGCTGCTTCCGCTGCTGCTTCTTCCGCTGCTGCTGCTTCCGCTGCTGCTGCTGCTGCTGCTGCTGCTGCCAGTGCTGCACGGCTCTCTCGTGCCTTGAAGGCCTTCGTCCCCACTCTCGCTCCCGCTTGCGCTCCTCTTATTGCCCCCACTCTCCCTCCTCCGCCTTCTTCTCTGCAAGCTGCTTCTTTCAATTCGCCGCTTCCCCCCGAATCCACCTCCTCTTCCTCCTGCAGATTTTCTCCCTCCTCCTCCTCCTCCTCCTCCTCCTCCTCCTCCTCCTCCTCCTCCTCCTCCTCCTCCTCCTCCACCTCCTCCTGCTCCTCCTCCTCCGCCCCCTCCTCCTCCCCACCCTCTTCCTCTTCCTCCGCCAGTCTTCCCATGCTCAACCCCTGCGTGTACCGTTCATCGACTTCCTGGTTGTCCACCACTTTATTGACCCCTTTGACCCCTTTCATAGCCCCCTCGCGAGCCCCTCTCGCCGCTGTGTGCACATGAGCCAATGCAGGAACCCGAACCATGCTATTCCCCCCGCCGCAGCTCCCCGCGTCAGACTTCTCCCCACCCGCACCACCACCGCCACCAACGCCACCAGCAGAGCCGCCGGCGACTCTTGCTGGCAGTGCACCTGTTCGTCCTGACAGGTGCCATGCTGAGAACAAGGGAGGACAGTGCACAGCAGCAGCAGCAGGCGCAGCGGCAGGCGCAGCAGCAGGAACCCCTCGCCCCGTCACGCCTCCCTCCTCCCATTGCTCCTCTCCTTCCCTCTCCTCTTCATCCTCCTCTTCCTCCCCCTCCTCCTCCTCGCCCTTCCACTCATCATCTCCCCCCTCACCTCCTCCTTTCAATTCCTCCTCCTCCTCCTCCTCCTCCTCCCTCCCTCGCTGCCCATGCCCGCCTCTCCTCTCTCTCCAACAGTCTCTCTCACCCTGCATTACGTCTCCTCCAGGTGCTGTCTCCCCACCTTCACCGCCTGCTGCTGCTGCTCCATCTGCTCCGATTTCCCCTGCCCCTGCCGCCACCGCTGCCACTGCTGACGCCGGAAGACTGGTGGCAGCAGCAGGTGCATCCGCAGCTCCTGCTGCTCCTGCTCCTCCTGCTCCTGCTGTTTCGACAGCAGCAGTAGGCTTTGAACCACCGACTGTTGCAGCCGGCTCTGAGGGGCACAGAGGGCTCTGATGCAGACCGGCATGCAGAGGCGGGAGCAGTGGTGGGAACTGGTCTGCAGAGAGATTGGCATCTGGCAACATGACCTGACCGCGCAGTAACAGCTGCGGTAACACCTGAGGCGGCACCTGGGGGAGCATTTGCGGCAGCAGCCACCCCTGGCTGTTGCTGCCCGTGCTCATGCCTGGCGCTGCTGCAAGAGCAGCAGCAGCGCCAGCCGCGTTGGCCACAGGGAGGCCTAGGATTCCAGGGGAGGAGAAGGGATGAAGCGCAGGGAAGGAGGACCCACTCGTACCGGCCGCGGCCGCGGCAGCAGCAGCAGCAAGAAACGCTCCAGCAGCACCAGCAAAACCACTGGCACCGACACCACCAGCAGCAGCAGCAGCAGCAGCAGCAGCAGCACCAGAACCGGTAGCTAGAACAGCGTTCTTTCCGTGCAATCCCAACAGCCCTGCGTGTCCCACCATGCCCTTGGCCGCACAGGCTTGCACCGCAGCAGGGAGCGGGGCGCAGGGAACCCCCAGCGCCACTGCGCCAGGCACACACGCCATGCCCGCGAAGACGTCGGCTCTCAGGCTGGCAAAGGCGTCAGGCGCAGCAGCAGTGAGAGGTGCTGCGGAGAGCACAGGCGAGGGGGAGCAGAGCGACTGGTTCTTGGTCAGTGCAGCGAACGGAAGGTGCATGTTGGTTGCTGTTGCACTTGCTCCACAACCGGTAGCAGCTGCAGCACGAGCAGCAGCGGCGGCGGCGGCGGCGGTGGCAGCGGCAGCAGAAGGAGCAGCAGCAGCAGCAGCAGTAGCAGCAGCAGTAGCAGCAGCAGTAGCAGCAGCAGTCGGAAACCCTGTGTTTGCAGAAACGCTGACCGGAGCAGCAGCGGGGGATCGGGCAGAGGGAAACGCAGCATTGGAGTCTGAAAGGGAGCAGTCGGCAAACGACGACGCATAGCCCGCAATCGATACACTCCCCGCCAGACCCAAGCGCGCGGAGAGAGCTCTAGCTGACGCACTTTTCAAAGCAGCAGCAGCTGCTGCTGCTGCTGCAGCAGAAACGGCTGCGGCGGCTGCTTTTTCCCGCTGCTGCTGCTGAAGGAAGAGCCGCGACTGCTCTGCTCTGTCCTTCTTAGACGGTCGCCCTCGCTTGCGCTTCAGTGACGTTACCATCGCTCCGCTTCCTCCTACTGCCGTCCACCCTCGCCCGTCTGACACAGCGTTTGCTAGAGCTGCCGGTGCTTCAGCTGTTATTGGATTCGCTGTGGTCGTCACTCCTCCTCGCGGCATGGCTAGTATCACCGAGGTTGGCACAGGCACACCGAGGACCACAGGAGCGGGTAACGGCAACCCTCTTGCACCCACCCCTCCAGCCGCCAATCCACCCACCCCTGCCGCCACTCCTGCTGCCGACGCTCCTGCCGTGACAGGAATCAAGTTGGCTGTAGAATTATCACCCACGGCTGTAGCGGCATCAGCAGCAGTGGCGCCACTGACAGTGGTGGCGGTGGCAGCGCGGCCCACGGGCTGCACTTGCTGCGCGGACCGGGCGTTTTTACCAGTGGTGGCGAGCAGACGGGAGGATTTCACAGGCGAGTGCGCGGCGACGAACGGCGACGAGAGGATGGGCCAGCGGGAGGCGAAGGAGGAGGAGGGGAAGGGAGACGCAGCGGTAGGGAATGCCCCAGCCGGCATTGTCCGCACTGCTGCGGCCCCGGAAGCGGCGGCGCTGGCGGCACCTGCTGCAGCGACAGGAGCAGAAGGAGCAGCAGCAGCAGTTGCGGCAGCGACGGTGGCGGCGGCGGCGGGTGAGTCTCCACGATGGCGCTCTCTAACGGCGCCATCGGAAGCGTCGCCGCGATCGCCGCCGCGATCGCCGGCGCAGTCATCGGACGGACGGTGGCGCTTCTTGGGTGGCTCATCCAGATCCAGATCTGCGCCAGGCCCGCTTGCCAGCAGTGCTGGCGATCCTGACAACCGGTGGAGCTGCTGTTGCCCGTGCTGATCGCAAGAGGTACTGTCCCGCGTGCTCTTAGTGGTGGTGGTGGTGGTGGTGGTGGTATTGTCCCGCGTGTCTTGCCTTCCGCCGTCGCTGGGGGAGCGCCCCTCGCGGCGGGAGGACTTGGCCGGGGAAGCATTAGCGGCTGCAGCGTCGCCGTCGCCGCGTCGAGCACAGCCGGAGTCACCACCGCGACGGACGGCGTACCCACCATGGCCGGGCCGTTCCTGAGGCGGCTCGCCGAAGCCGCCAGAACCAGCGCGGACCTGCCGTCGCCGTCGCGGCTCCGAGTCGGTGCGCCGGATTCTTCCAACAGCACAGCGAGCATCGCCGGTTAGTATCTCGCGCTCCGCGGAACCCGATGCAGATTCAGGCGCTTCTTCGAGTGGCTCCGCCGCCATTCGACTACTAGTACGAAGATCTGAAGTCGCCGCCGCCGCCGGTGTCGTAGCCGTCTCTTCGTTCTCGCCAGATCTCTCGCCCACCATGGCAACTCGACGCACCGCCGTTGCCGTCGTAGTCGCACGTGCGACATTGCCGGCGGAACGGCAAGAAGCACGATCCGTCGCAGCCGCAGTGGTAACGTCAATCACGGGGACACTCCGCGGGGCGCTGCGAGACCCGCCGTTGCCGCTTCGAGTACTAGACGAGCCGCTCAAACGGCCTACTAACGGAGACAGAACACCGTCAGGACTGTCAGCAGCGCCATTGTTCTCATTTTCTTGCGACACTATCATCACGCGAGCCGCGCGGTGCTCTCCTGACGCAGCGTGAGAGCTGGATTCTCGTAATGTGTGCGCGCGATAACACTCCTCCACCTGCTGGCTCCTTCGCCGCATCTGCCGCTCCTTCGCATCCCAGCAGTGCTGCGGTGACTGCGGCTGCTGGCGCTGCCGTGCACTGGCAGTAGTAGTAGCAGTACTAGTTCTACGTTCCGGCTGTTGCTCCGTCATCTTCTTGATCATGTCCAAGTGCCCTTGAGTCACGGTCGGAGATAGCTCGCAGTCTTTCTTTTGCTACGCGCCGGAGATAACTACCCCTGGTGCATACTACTCAGTTTCGCGCGTTTGGCTATTACCACCTGGAATTCATAGAGAAGGGGAATGGAAATGGGTTGCGGGAGATGAACCCGTTCGGAGCCGCTTTCCTAGCAGCTCTGTGATCTCTGGGTGTTGGGATCCCAGCTCAAGGAAATTCCAATCATAAACATGGCTTGTTGTGCGGTGGATTGGTGGATATTCTTGGTGTGTCTGAGCTTGGTACACTGTACAATGTTCCTTCCAACAAGTTCCAAGGATTGCTTGTTGTGCCGCTCCCACTGCTGTTCGATGTCGACCTGAGTTTAAAAGACGAACGATGGGGCAGATATTTGAGTTCCTCATTCACGTGAAGCCTGAGTCCTGGGTTCTGCAATTCCAGCGCTGTTCCCTTTGTTGCCTCTAGAATTCTCGTCCATGCTCGGGGTTTTCTGACGCTCTCGTTGCTCCTCCACGCTGAGCCACCTTTCGGTGCATACGTACTACGCTGGGCAGGCGGGTGGGACCCCACCGCCTTTTGCGCATGGGAGACCATAGCGCAGATACTCATCACCTCCTGCTTGCTGTTAGCATATCCGCGTTGCACAGCATCATTTCATGCTCGCACGTGAGCAAACAAAACAGAGTGGATGGAGACACAGGTTTCGGAAGGGAAAAATACAATTGGTATTTTTTGCTCCAGAAGGGATGGTGCTGTTCATGCACATTTGGGTCTGCTTCTCCTAACACGCCCGTAAATTTGGGGGTTGTGAGGAGAACTCAGCTGTGTCTCCTGGTCGGGGCAAGGGCGTGCGTTTCAGAGCTAGGCACTGTACAGTAAGGCTGCTCGCGCAAACACGTCGACATGCCCAATTTCGAGAGTCCCACCAGCCAAAACGGACGACATGTGGAAAGAAATCATTCTGCCTGCCTGCCTGTCCCCGTCTGGTTTAGTGATTTTTCCGATGGTTCTGTTCTGTGTACAATAATTTGGCTGGCAGACATGCGCGAGAGTCAAGTTGAGATTGTGGGTGGGCTGTGACCAATGTTGTTTTCTCCAGATCCCGGGAATAAGTAGTATACATGTAGGGCACCCTTGGATTCCAGGAGCATTAGAGTTCAATTGATCTACACACAGCCATACAAGCCGTGTCGAATCCTGCTCATGTTCGGCCAGTATTATGCACAGCTATGTACCTCCAACCAGCAGTTTTTGTGCACATCCAGCAGAATGATTTCGCCGAACTTCTAGAAGGAGACTCGTTGCAAGAAATGACAAGGTCGCACATCCCCCTCCCCCCCTCTCAAAGCGAGGCGCCGCTCTCAAATTTGATTCTGTCAGCACAAGGCTTGAACACCGTCCATGTTGAAGTTTCCACGTGACGAGATGCTTCCGTCACGTTTCTCACGTGAATTTCACGCCAACATGACCACTTGAACACGGGCCGCTTATGCTCTCCGTAATTCTCGAGGCTTGAGTTCGGAGCTCCTACTCGACAGCTTGCTGTAAAAGATTTGAAGGTGGTGGTTGCGAGGGGGACAGATGTGCGAAATGCTTCCGCGCATCAAATTCTGTTTGCAGCAGCCACGGTGGCTGCATTCGGTTTGTACTCGACTTTGCTCACAGAACTGGACTTCACTCAAAGATAGGTGGTATGACGAATTCCAACAGAACTGTCAGACTCGTGCGTAAACGTGATCATCTTCAATACATCCCATGCATATTATTAGTATTATTATTCATGCCTGTCTACTATGGCCCACCAATCGGATATGTGATCGTTGTTTGTAGATGCTTCTCTTAATCTCCCCGGGCTAGTGGAAACAGCTCCGAGTCACCTTAACTTTCGTGCGATTTATCCCTCACCCAACGATGCAACTCATGTATTTAACCCCCTTCCCCTCCCCGCCCCGACCCCCACTCCCTCAAGTGCCGATGCAAGCCCACCCAAGTGAACTCTCCATCTTGCTGTCACCATTGATACTGGTGTGCCACCCCACACCAGCTCTTCTGGAGTATGATTGCACTGGTGTAACGGCCTTTCTTGGTGGCCTGACTAACAGTGCTTTGGTATACGGTACTCAATATTGGGTCAAGCATCGAGCTCCTAAGGATCACCACCCCTTTTAGTAACCTTCAAAAGCCTCAGGCGGCATCAGTGCACTCGTCACTTTGCCAAAATCAGACATCAAGCCTGAGACAAGGAAACAACGAAAATGAGCAGCAGGTGAAAGTCGCTTGAACACACATGGGACAAAAGAAAAAGAACAAGAGAAACAAAGAACGAAACAAAGAGGGAAAACAGGAGGAGGGAGAGAGAGGGCGCGAGGTATTCACCCACGCAGCTACTCACCACACAAGACTAGAAACAGCACGCAAGGATTCAAGACTGGAAGCAGCACGCAAGGATTCAACAGGAAATGCGCCTCTTACAGTGGAAGCGGCGGCGGGGATGTGGCGGTTGGCGTGTGGCGGCTGCAACAAAGAGCTCGATATGCCGGGGGGAGAGCTCCGCACGACGGCACGGCGAGGCAGGACCGGTGAGTGTAGCAATGATTGCAGCCTCACACTCGCGAGGATGCGTGCAGCAGAGCGCGTTGAGCACGTCTGCTAGGGCTGCCTCTGCCTCGTGCCCCACTGCCCCCTTGGCCACCGCTGATAGCACCTCCTGGAGAGAGGGAGATTGGGGAGGTGAGAAGTGGGGGGTCGGAAGGTGCGTGAGTGAGGGGCGAGGGGAGGGTTTGGAGGGAGGCAGAGGCAGGTGCAGGAGCAGAAGAGAGGGGAGATTGGAAAGAAGACTGTGAAAGCCGTGTGTGGGGAAATGGGACTCATACTAGTCAAAAGAAGCATGAAATACGGATCGATATGTTGTAAATAAGGCTTGAGTGTGACGGATGGGAAGATGTTGGGTTGGGGTTGGGCGGGAGGGAAAAGGGGGGGAGGTTGGGGTTGGGGACGGCGAAGGAGACCAGAGATTTCTCAAAAGAAGGAAAAAGCATACTCTTGGAGGGGAAAAAAAAAAACGCAAACAGCAGCAGCGTACCTGCACGATAGCTCCTCCTAGCTGTCGGCACATGTCATCCACAGCGCCTCTGAGCCCAGGCGGCACAACCCACGAGCCTGGCAGCGTGGCAGCGAGGGCGAGCGCCTCTGGCGCCATCTGGCGCACGTGCAGCAGCGACTGCCCCACTATGGTCTCCGCTAGGAACGCCGCTGCTGCCTCCACTGCCTCTGAATCCGCCCATGATATGCACGCTGCAGGGGGGAAGAGAGCGGGAAAGAAGACAAAAAAGGGGGGAGAAGAAGTGCACAGCAAGCAAGGGGGGAGTGGCATGAGCAGCAGAGCTAGAAGACTAAAAAAGGGACAGACGAGGTGGCATGAGCAGCAGAGCTAGAAGTGAGAGCACGAGCGAGCACACACACGCACGCACCAACGGCACTTTGGCAGAGCAGGAGGAACGTGGGCGAGGGCAGCAGCAGCTCGGGAGCACGTGCCACATACGCCCGTGCCACATCCCACAACGAGGTGACTTTTGAGTCGACTCAAGAGCACGAGCGAACACACACACACACACGCACCGACGGCACTTTGGCAGAGCACGAGGAAGGTGGGCGAGGGCAGCAGCAGCTCGGGTGCATGCGCCACATACGCCCGTGCCACGTCCCACAACGCCTGCAGCGTCTCCAGCGCACGCGCGTGCTGCTCCTGCTCCTGCTGCGACAACCGCCCCTGCCCCTGCCCCTGCCCTTGCCCTTGTTGCCCCTGCTGCCAATGACCCAGCTGGGCTTCTGGTCTGGAGTGTCTGTGCAGCGACTTGGAGCCTTTATCTGTGCGCGTGATGTTTTCTTGGAGAACGGTCAGCGCTGCTGCGAGCTTGTCGGGAATGCCCGCCAAGCTCGCTTGCACCTCGGGTGATGCTCGCGCTCCCACCCGTGGCATGGATACGATCTGATGGGTGGAGAATCGGAGGGTGGAAAAGAGTGGGAAAGAGCGGGAACGCGGGGGAAAGAGGAAGACGGGGGAATGAAGGGAGGGGGGGAGGAAATGAAAGGAAGTGGGTAGGTTGGGTACTTGGGGGAAACGAAAGGGAGTGGGTAGCTTGGGTACTTGGGGGAAATGAAAGGGAGTGGGGGGTGGGTGATTACGGTACATGCACCGACGAAAGAAGTATTATTCGAATTGTACTGTTCAATCAAGTGCCTGTACGCACACGGTCTAGGCTAGTCTGGGTGTCGCACTCATGTCAGCAAGGCACTTGAGGCATGCCGCGTGCCGATGGCGCTGGAACATCCCTGCAGCAGCACCGATCACCTGCGGCAGCACCTATCACCTGCAACTTCTGAGGCGCCTAAAAAAGATGAAAAGATGCACTCACATCAGCGAGGCACTTGAGGCAAGCGGCATGCAGATGGCGTTGAAACATCCCTGCAGCAGCACCAATAACCTGCGGCAGCACTGAATACCGTGCAGCGCAATCACCTACGACTTCTGATGTACCACACAAGAAAAGCACTCACATCAGCAAGGCACTTGAGGCAAGCGGCATGCAGATGGCGTTGAAACATCCCTGCAGCGGCGCCGATCACCTGCGGCAGCACCGGAGCCAGCTGTCCCCCTACAGCCCGCGCCGTGGCCCCCCATAGCCCACACAGCGCTGCCCCCACCACCGCATCATCCGCCCACCGCGCCGCTACCAAGTCAAACGATGGCCATGCTCCCTGCAGCAGCGGCAGCAGCAGCGCCTCCGCTCCCCCGCTCCCTGCTCCTCCTCCTCCTGCTGCTGCTGCTCCCGCGGCTGCTGCTGCGGGTGACCCACCAGGACTTGACGCGGCGGCGGCAGCTGCGGCGGCGGCTGGTGAGCCTGCAGCGGTGGCGTCGGTGGGGGAGAGGGCAGCGGCGTGGAGTTTGTCCCCCACAGTGGAGACAATGGCTGCGATGACTCTCAGG